CAGAACGTTTGCCGTGGGGGGTGAGGGCCCAGTAGTACCAGAACTTTCATTCCTTTTCATTTTTCCTGAGAATAACCCTAATCTAGACTTGTGACTTTTTTGACTTTTAGTTGCTAAAATTATTTTTAGAACACACTGTATTGCACAGCAAACACTTTCTGGATTAGTCCCACAGGTCAACCTCTGATTTTGTGTCTACCAATGAATGGTAAGGCCCTAAGCTGACCCTGTGGGCACCAGGATTCTAAAGTCCCTGCTTTCTGTGAGCTTCCAGTCTACTTGGGAGGAAAGAAAACACACTTGGAAAACAACCAAAATGAGGCATGCAAATGGGAAATGCTATAGGAATTCAAAGAAGGGAAAAAAAGAACCCCATCTTTAACGATCAGGAAAAGTATAACACACCGTGGAAGGAGTTGGGTAGAAGTGTCACAGTTGCTAGGTGGGGGCTAAGGGAGAGAAGCAGAGGTGCAGGCTTGGGTAAGCAAGCTCTATCAACAGAAACTATGACTCTCGAAAAAGAGAAGATTTGGTAGATTTTTGGAGACTAGTGCCCCTCCCCACCAGTGGATAATTTTTCTGAACAATGAATTGAAAACAGGTAGCAAACTGTTGAAAAGCATAGCACCGAAATTCAGCAGAGAGTTTGAGGATTTGAGCTGCATATTTGAGCATCACCTGTGTAGAAGAGAGGGGGGACGCCATTGGGTTTATAGAGTGGGTCCCTCTAATGTCTGCAATTAGCAAGTGGTCTATTTATAAATGTTAGGGATATATTTTGAGTCTGACATTTCCAAAACTACCATCCCATTATTTACTACATTAAATCATGGTTAAAGCTCAAAGCAGTACCCAACTGTTTCATAAACATTCCCTATACTGGAAAGGAGAAAGGTTTGAAGTAAGAGAAACTAGAAGAACATAGGGAAGGAGATACCTGGCATTTGGAAGGATATGCCTGTGGTGATGGCTCTATTGATTGGCTTATGATCTTCCCTCCAATGATGGCCTACAGACTTATTTTTACTGTTGTGAAAACAATATTCAAGCAAACGATAATCTTCCATTTTGTTGCTATGCAGTACATTTGGGCAGCACTCATTTCTCTCTGATTTGAAAGTTTAAAAGTGTAATTTCTCTTAAAAAGGAAAATAAACAGGAGGTTTCTATGTACTTCCCATTATGGCATCTGCTTGTTCCAGAGATCAAGCATTTCAAAGCTTGAGAACTCCAAGTTACTTCATGTAAGCGACTGTCTATTTGGACATGAGTGTGTTTCATTGTTAGGAATTATGCAGGCCTAAAGTAATTTATAGATCAACACCCCCTCTCCTGGTTACTGAACTGTGAAGAAAAATGAAAGCTTATTCTTAGACACGTATATAAGCCAGGTGAGCTTAGACGAGTGAGCATTTGGCCAAGGAGAAGTTGTGCTCAGCACATCAATCAAAAATAGTTCTGATTCCAAGTTCTGCATAGCTCTAACACTGTCCCAGTGCGCTTTTATGAAACTGTACATAGACAGCTCTCAAAAACTTCCCAAGTCCAAGAAACCCAGAAAAACACCCATAACGGCTTTCTTCCATGTCATAGTAAAACTGTTCTTTTAGCAAAAATTTATAACCAAGCAGAATTCTTCTAAATAAGTTAGCTATTTATTTGGGAGACTGTCCTTGTGACTTTAAGACATTGGAGCTGTTAGATTTCTTATTGTCACTGATTCTTTCACCCTGTTTTTACAATGTTCTCTCTCTGTCTCTCTCTCTCTCTATATATATATCTATATATATATATAGATATATATGGGTATATATATAGAAAATATATATCTGTAGTATTTGAGATATATATATAGAAAATGTATATCTATATATATATAGAACAGATATATATATGTGTGTGTATATATATCTGTAGTATTTGAATCTATCAACTTTAAGCTACCAGAGGCAAAACCAGTTTAATGTCCATGCCTTGTGAATCCAAATTCTGATATTTATTCAAATATTCACTAATCTAGGAGGATTTCTTTGGGGAGGCTTCAGGAATACAGATTATAGCGGGCTGAATGTAGACACCAGAATATACTATAATGCAAGAGTCAACAATTGAGAGGGATAAAGTTGGTCACTGGATTTGGCCATTTGTAACAAAAATTGTACACAATGTTTTATACTTGTGATGACTTTGTGCTATATTAAATTTTAAAGGGGATATTTATTGCCCAAAAGAAAGAAAAGGCAAGAGGGAAGAAGGAAGGGGAGAACACCATTTCTAGTTTTTAAATGAAATGAATAAAGCTTCCGTGGTCATGATTTGGATGCTCTCCAAAGTCCAGTAGGCTCCAGGAAACTCAAGGGATTGTCGTGGCATTAGAGCCAGTCCTAGGTGCCAAAGTCAAAATAGGCCATGCCGGCCAGTTGAGCCCAAGCGGGAGCAGCGTATGTAGGTCACTTACATGTTTTGAATTTAGACAGGCTGAGTTTATACAATTGTTGTACAATTAAGCTCTGGAGAAACACGGCACATTCTAAATCTTTAGAAAAGCGCTTGTTTCACAACACATAAGAAACTTGCAACGTCAACTGAGATGATGGCCTCAGTGTGAAGTTCACGGTGGGGCCCCCTGTGTCGGGGAGCCGGGCAGGGAGTTCTGTGTGAGCCCACAGTCCTTGCTGAATGTAGTGATGGCTCTTCCCTCAGAGAGTGTCTTGAGCTGACTGTGAGGATCAGAATTAAACACAAGCATTTTCTTAGCCACACTCCATAAACACTATTTTGATGCAGTGAGAAATTAATTAATAAAAATAGAAAGCATTTACGAGCCATCGGATTAATCTCACAAGTGTTTATTGAACATCTCCTACTCCCTAGGATGGGAAGCACAGAAAGTGCATAGAAAGGAAGGCAAGGAGACACCAAATACGGGGCCAGTTCTGCCTAACACTGTGGTTGTGCCCGTGCCCTCCCCCAGAGCACACAGAGACACGATTTCCCCCTCCCTCCAGGTCACCTGTCTCTTAGAAGGCTCCCCTCTGTTGTATTCTCTGCAGTCACCCCCAACCTCCCACACGTAACAACAGAGAGGGACACATTGACTCCACGGGAGACTTGTGCTCAGCAGGAGCTCGGGCCTCTCAGGGAAGAACTGAATTAGCAACATCACAAATGCTGCTTTTGTTTTACCAGCTGCCACTGTTAAGTTCTTACTTAATGAAAGTATTTGCGTTTCCATAAATACATGTAAATTTCCTACCTTTTACTTGTCATAGCCAGAGAAAGCTCTGTGAGTGGTGATTAAGGAGGGAAGCTTCTTTAAAACAAATCACTGTAGTTGAGAACATCCATGTAAGCAACACCATCCTCAAAATTGGTGAATTTACCAATTGTCCTACCCTATTGTACCTTTAAAGCAGTCGCTTAAGTTTATTTTAATTAATCATTCTTTAATTTTAAAAGCAGTGTGCTTATGGTAAAAGAATCAAGCACATGTGATTATAAGATAGTAATAGCAACCCAAGGGATTCACTCCCATGTTTGAAATCCTCCAGAGGTTTCTTGTGACCCTTGGAATGAAATCCCAGTGCCTTTCCAGGCTCTACAGGACCTTCCCAGATCTTAACTCTCCTTTGGCTTCACCCACCTGTCTCCCTTCTTTACTCCACGACCTTGACTTCACATCCACACTGGCTTCTAATACACCAAGTTTATTCCCATTTCAGGGCTTCGGCCCTGCTCTCCCTCTGCCCAGCGTACTGTACCCATCAGAGTGTGGCTGGCTCCTTCCCCCATTCAGGTCTCATCATCCATGTCCCTGCCATAGAGGTGGCTTCCTGACCACCCTATCTAATGACCACCTCCCGACCCCGCCAGCCCTTCGTCCACTCACGTCCCTGTATTTTATTATTGTGCTTTTTATCCTTTTCTGAAAATGCTTTATTGCTTGCTGGCTTATTTTCTGTCTCCCTTCTAGACTGTAAGCTCGGTGAGGGTGGGAGTCTTGTCCAGTTAGTTACGTCATATGCCTAGCGCTTATAAAAGGGCCCAACATACAGTGGACGCTCAGTAAATACTGGTTTAATTGGATGAAAGGCATTTATGAGAATTAAATAATGATTAGGCCGAGCATGGTGGCTCATGCCTGTAATCCCAGCACTTTGGGAGGCCGGATCACTTGAGGCCAGACATTCGAGACCAGCCTGGCGAACGTGGTGAAACCTCGTCTCTACTAAAAAAAAAAAAGAAAAAAGAAAAAAATTGCCAAGTGAGTTGGCGCACACTTGTAATCCCAGATACTCAGGAAGCTGAGATATGAGAATCACTTGAACCTGGGAGGCGGAGGTTGTAGTAAGCCAAGATTGTGCCACTGCACTCCAGCCTGGGCAACAGAGTGAGACTGTCTCAAAAACAAAATAAAAATAAAAATAAAACAACCGAGAATTAAATACTGATTAGTATAGGACCTGGCACATTGTAAGGACCCAAGAGATGAAAGTTTGCTTCTTTTCCCTCCTCACCTTCCCAAGATGTGTTTTGAAAACTGATTTAATTACACTGTTCTGTCTTAAATGTATTCATATGGCATTCAATTATGCTGAGTACAGTCAAGCATACCTAGGTGAGTACAAAATGGTCTCCCAGGCCAGGTACAGTGGCTCATGCCTGTAATCCCAGCACTTTGGGAGGCTGAGGCAGGCAGATCACTTGAGGTCAGGAGTTTGAGACCAGCCTGGCCAGCATGGTGAAATCTCATCTGTACTAAAAATACAAAAATTAGCCGGGCGTGGTGGTGCATGCCTGTAATTCCAGCTACTCAGGGGGCTGAGGCAGGAGAATTGCTTGAACCCGGGAGGCGGAGGTTGCAGTGAGCCGAGATGGCGCCGCTGCACTCCAGCCTGGGCAAAAGAACAAGTCTTCATCTGGAAAAAAAAGAAAAAAAAAAACAGAAACAAAAAAGTAGTAAAGTACCCATTTAAATATTTTTTAACTTACTTTTTCAGGTCGTCCTTGGCGGAAGGAACCATGAACTGGCATTTCCCCCTCTTCCTGTTGGCCTCTGTGACGCTGCCCTCCATCTGCTCCCACTTCAACCCTCTGTCTCTCGAGGAACTAGGGTCCAACACGGGGATCCAGGTTTTCAATCAGATTGTCAAGTCGAGGCCTCATGACAACATCGTGATCTCTCCCCATGGGATTGCGTCAGTCCTGGGGATGCTTCAGCTGGGGGCAGACGGCAGGACCAAGAAGCAGCTCACCACGGTGATGAGATACGGCGTGAATGGTGCGTGTGCACAATTGCTCACTGGCGGGGCCTTTGCCTGAGTCTTGTGACCGCAGGGTTTATGGCTTGGTTTTTGCTGACAGCCCCAAGAAGCAGAGCAGCCAGAAGAGGTTTTGCTGGTGCCACTTGGGGCTTGGGGTCAGTCTTTTCTAAAGCACAAATAGCGTGGTGCTGGCAGTTAGGAGAACTAGACTCTGGTCCCTTTTCTGTACTTTCGGAGCTTGTCACTAGGTCTCCCTTCCTGAGCCTCCAGCCCTCATTCCTGCAGGGGACGCTTCCTGGCTCACCACCTCCATGGCGCCCAGGGCTGAGTTGCACTGTGGTTGTAGGTGTGCTTGTAAAGCATGTGAGAGGAGCTGGGAAGGGGTGGCTGTGGGGGACCCAGGGGCCCTGTGGTGGTGGAGCCATCCTGGGTCCTGATTGTGGCGGTGGCCACACAAATCTGCACAGAACCCCCTCCCCAAGCCTACAACAGGAGTATATGGAAAATGAGTGAAGTCTGAATGCACCCTGTGGACTGACCTGATGGAAATTCCCTGATGCAACGACAGTACCATTGGGAAGACTGGGTGAAAGGCACGTGGGACTTCCCTGCATATTGTTTTGCCATTTCCTATAAATCTATAATTATTTCAAAATATAAAGCTAAGAAAAGACTTGGAACCAACCCACATGCCCATCAATGATAGACGAGATAAAGCAAATGTGGCACATATACACCGTGGAATACTATGCAGCCATAAAAAAGGATGAGTTCACGTCCTTTGCAGGGACATGGTTGAAGCTAGAAACCATCATTTTCAGCAAAGTAACACAAGAACAGAAAACCAAACACCACATGTTCTCACTCATAAGTGGGAGTTGACCAATGAGAACACATGGACACAGGGAGGGGAACATCACACACCGGGGCCTGTCGAGAGGTGGGGGGCAAGGGGAGGGAAAGCATTAGGACAAATACCTAATGCATGCGGGGCTTAAAACCTAGATGACAGGTTGATGGGTGCAGCAGAGCACCATGGCACATGTATACCTATGTAACAAACCCGTACATTCTGCACATGCATCCCAGAGCTTAAAAAAAATAGATAGATAGATAGATAGATAGATATGTAGCGAGAGAGAGAGCTAAAAAATTGTTTTAAAGTAAGGCCGAATGAAAAAGGTTTAGTTTGATTTAACAAAAAACCTTTCTTAAATGACCCATTTAACTGCACGAGCTTCATCCTCTGGCACTGTTTTGCTTCAGCTGAGGGGTCTTGCCCAGAGCCGTGTCCTGTCTGCTGTCTCCCTGACTGCAGCTCGCAGGGGAGCAGGACTGGCTCCCCCACTCTTCCGGGCCACCAACACCCTCTGCGACCTTGCAAAAGTCACATTCACATCTAGGTCTGCTTACTTTGTTGGAAACAAGGGAGTCTTCCTGCCCATGTTCTTCCACCCAGGCTGGCCCGAAAGTTCTGAGAATCTTGTCTGCACTGGCATCGTCAGCTGGAGAGTAAGATCAGGGAGGTGGCGATTTGTGCCCTTCAGTGCCTCGCTCTGCACCCACCTCCAACTCTGCTCAGCGTGGCCTCCAGGGCTGCCAGCACCAAATGCCTAATCTCACTGCTCTGTTGATGCAGCATTACACTTCTGCATGAGTTTGCAGTTTGTTCACCTGTTGGAAGCATAGAAGGACTAAATACTTGGAACACACTGTTCTGCCCCTTGCTTGGAAGTTCAGAAAACTCTTGGTGATTTATAACTTCGTGGCGAATCACTGCTAATATTTATGGCCTTTCCTAGTGTGATCCAGGCCGTGTCGGCCGAGACAATTCCAAAATAGCAACTGGATTTTTGTTGTTTATTTTAATGCTGAGCCACACTGATTTTAAGCCATTATTTCTGAAGTTCTAACAATATTGGCCTGTTGGCCATCCACCACTGCCTCACCCCTACCCCAAAAGGGCCAGGAGCTGGCAATTGGCCTTGGAAGTGTCTTTCAGCCTCTAAAGCCTGCCGTTTTCTTACTTGTAGAATGGGCCTGCACCGTAGAACAATTGTAAGGTGTGGTCATGAGCGTCTAAGAGAGGGCCATGCACTTTGTAAAGTCCTACACACGCCCCTCTTTGTGGGCCCTGAGAAGACGGCCCCACCCTGTGTAAAGGGTCTGAAGAGCATGTACATTCAGAGTGACAAATCGGCTCTTTAGGGGACCATCAAGGTGACTCCGGCAGGATGTTTTAGGACAGTGTCATTTTGAAGAGACCCCAAGCGATGAAGAAGGATCTGTAATTTGAGCTCTCTGTAGAAACATATTGCATCCTTATAACTTATTTGCGTCTTTTTCACCCTCTCAAACTAAATGGAGCATGTATGAATGGCTCATGTAAAATAAAGCTTATATTGCCATAAAATTAATCTCCTTCCTCTTTGAGCTTGATACCAAGTAAAAACCACATTGTTCTGGGTGGTGGCACATGGTAATTTTTTATAGTCTTTCTAACGCTTATTTTATTCATTTTTTTTCCAAAGTAGAAAAAACGAAATTACATTGTTAAATCTTTGGCAAGAAAGGAAGTAGCGCTTAATAATGTTAGACAAGAAAGAGAGAAAGAATTAGGAAGTTCGCTTTGATTTATTCCCCCTTGGCTATAGAACTGAGGACTGTACCGCCGGGCGCGGTGGCTCACGCCTGTAATCCCAGCACTTTGGGAGGCCGAGGCGGGCGGATCACAAGGTCAGGAGATCGAGACCATGGTGAAACCCCGTCTCTACTAAAAAATAGAAAAAAATTAGCCGGGCGCAGTGGCGGGCGCCTGTAGTCCCAGCTACTCGGGAGGCTGAGGTAGGAGAATGGCGTGAACCCGGGGGGCGGAGCTTGCAGTGAGCCGAGATTGCGCCACTGCACTCCAGCCTGGGCGACAGAGCGAGACTCCGTCTCAAAAAAAAAAAAAAAAAAAAAAAAAGAACTGAGGACTGTACCAGCATTCATACTGATCTGGTGCCCAGAAAGGCTACCATGAGAATGAGGTCTGCATTGGGAAGGTGGCGAGAGCACCTGGAATACCGCTGTTTTGATGCAGAAGCACAATTGACTTTTGAGAGCTTCAGTGGTTAGACTTTAACCCCCTTCTCTCCTTTTCTTAAGAAATAAGCCCCTAAGAGGACAGAGACTTAGTTTCTTGCTACTCATAGCTATCCTGTTTGTACTGTCCTTTTATTTTTATTTTTGAGACAAGGTCTTGCTTAGTCACCCAGGCCGCATGCAGGGACGCGATCAAGGCTTACTGCAGCCTTGACTTCCTGGGCTCCAGCGATCCTTCCACCTCAGCCTCCTCAAGTAGTTGGTATCACAGGTGTGCTACCATGTCCAGTTAATTTTGTATTTTTGGTAGACACAGGGTTTTGTCATATTACCCAGGTTGGTCTTAAACTCCTGAGCTCAAGCAGTCCACCCACCTCAGCCGCTCAAATTGCTGGGATTACAGGTGTGAGCCACTGCATCTGGCCTGTACTGTTCTTACTTGCTGCAATATGAAAGATTTTTAAAACTTTTCTAGATTCTTATGGAAATACTGCTGTATTTTCTGGTTTCTCTTTTAGGAGTTGGTAAAATATTAAAGAAGATCAACAAGGCCATCGTCTCCAAGAAGAATAAAGACATTGTGACAGTGGCTAACGCCGTGTTTGTTAAGAATGCCTCTGAAATTGAAGTGCCTTTTGTGACAAGGAACAAAGATGTGTTCCAGTGTGAGGTCCGGAATGTGAACTTTGAGGATCCAGCCTCTGCCTGTGATTCCATCAATGCATGGGTTAAAAACGAAACTAGAGGTGAGTGGCCACAGTATGTCATATGATTGCATAGTTTGTGAATGAAAGCATGAGTTAGACTCCAGGGTTCAAAGTGGTGTCTGCAAGTCCAATCCAATGGCCTGTCGGTTGAGAAACTTCTGGACCCAGGGAAGCTCTGTTCGGTCTCCCACCTTCCCCTTCAATCTGCCATCGCTCACTGTGCTCCTGGGAGGTTTTTCTCCTGTAGTTTGGGCAACAGAACAGAATCCAGCCCCTCCACTGTCTCCTCTCCTTGCCATATCTGGTCTGCAGCATCCTTGCCCACAGGCTGTTGTCAGTTTGGAGGGTTTTCGTGCTCATTCCTTCCTGTTTTTGCATCTGCCTCTGCCTTTACCTGGAATGTCCTCCTCATCCTTCCAGATTGATTGATCCCTTTGCCTTCCAGGCCTCTTGCTTCTGCCATTGCCAAAGACATGGGTACCCTGTTGTCCGTTATGATTGGCACGCGATTACAGCTTTTACACATCCCTCCATTACAGCCCTTTCCACATCTCAAAATGATTACTCATTTGTAGGTGTCTCTTCTCCCATTAAATAAAGTAGAGTCTAATGTTGGTGTTTTAAAACTTAATTTGTAGGCCAGGCACAGTGGCTTATGCCAGTAATCCCAGCACTTTGTGAGGCCGAGGTGGGTGGATCACCTGAGGTCAGGAGTTCGAGACCAGCCCGGCCAACATGGTTTATCCTATCTCTACTAAAAATACAACAATAAGCCAGACATGGTAGCGGGCACCTGTAATCCCAGCTACTTGGGAGACTGAGGCAGGAGAATCGCTTGAACCCAGGAGGCGGAGATTGCAATGAGCTGAGATTGCACCCCTGCACTCCAGCCTGGGCGACAGAATGAGACTGTCTGAAACAACAATAACAAAAACAAACAAACAAAAACCTTAATTTGTAACCTGGAGGTCCAGGTGGAGACATGCAGGAGGAACTGTAGGTCTGAAACAACAGGAGAATGTGAAGCCTGGGAGTACAGACTTGGGACCCTTTTTCCTTTTTTTTTTTTTTTTTTTTCTGGAGACAGGGTCTCGCTCTATCTCTTATGCCAGAGCGCAATGACGCAATCATAGCTCACTGCAGCCTCAACCTCCTGGGCTCAAGTAATCCTCCCACCTCAGCCGTTCCAGTAGCTGGAACTACAGGTGTGCACCACTACGCCTGGCTAGTTTTTTTTTTATTTTTTGAAGAGATGGGGTCTCACTGTGTTGCCCATGCTGGTCTTGAACTCTTGGGTTCAAGCAGTCCTCTCGCCTCAGCCTCCCAGAGTGCTGGGATTACAGGCATGAGCCCCCGTGCCTGGCCATAGAGCCTTTTTTCATAGAAGGGAGAGAGTCTATAGGGAGAAGAAGCCCAAAGACGAAACCTAGGGAAACTGTGGCCTTTCAGGGTGTGTTTCTTAAAGTGTGGTTACTGGTGTCCCTGCAGCAGAATTATCTGGGCTGTGAGTTGAGAAGGCAGATCCCTGGAGCCCAGCCCACTGCATTGGAATCTCCGAGGGCGTGGCTGGCAACTCCCAGTCTGCCTCTGCCTCCCATCACCATTCTTACACACCCAAATGTTGGAGACCCATTAGCAGAAGTAGTGAAGGGGCGGACAAAGAAGGCTCAGGGAGGGTGCAGGAGATCCCAGGTGACTTGGGTAAATTTGTGGCGTCCCTTCTTAGTGGGGCCTGGACCATGCAGTCTGGGTGCCCTTCCTAAAACCATAAACCATCAGGAGGCCAGCACATATGAGGGTGTTCAGTGGAGTTTCCAGGTGTCTGGCATCTGTAGGCTTGTGAAGAGTGGTCGGAAGCAGACGCCCTCAGGACGGGTTCTTGGTCCCGACTCTGTGGCTGGAGCTGTGTGACTGTGACATGTCATTTTGTCCTCTTAGCCGCTGCCTTGATCTGTAGAATGGTAATATTAAACCACATTAGTTAGACCATGTGGCAGTCTTCAGAGCACCTGGAGAAAACCCCCACGTGTGCTGGGAAGAAGCATGGAGACTCCTGCAGCACTTTGCAGCCCTGTCAGCCCTAACTCCCCTGTTTGTAACAAATATTTTTAATACTCTCTTTACTATTCTGAAATGAAATTCATACATCATATTACCCTATGCACACACACACATTTTTAAAAATTTGAGACAGTGCCAAACTGTAATACAAAGGAAAACAAAAGAAATGTCTATATGTAGTTCAGTAGGTAAACCCTTGGGTACAACTACACTCAAATACATAATAAAGTAGTCAGAGTCTCAGAATAATTGTGAATTGACAGCTATAAAAGCAGACAGAGACAGGCATGTTGTACTGGTGACTCATAAACATGAACTTTGTTACTATTGCTGATGTAGTTTTTTTCTGTAACGGTGCAAGACTCTTGATAAATTTCCGAACAAAACAAAGCACAGGCTCTGCTTGATTTGCATGGAAGTCACATTCCTGGCAAATTCGGCATACATGAAAAGGATGCAAAAAAAAAAAAAAAACCCACCCTGTGTTTACACACGAAAAAGAACGAGGTTCTGGGCTCGGATAATTATAAGTAGGTGTCCTACCAATGCAGAGATCCGGTGGGGTATTTAAAAGCCATGGGAGAAGCAGCACAATTCTTCACTGGATGGGACTGTTTTGAACATTGCAGGACAGATAGCATTTCTGGCCACTGGCCACTGCCCACTCAATTAAAAACATCCCTGCTGATTTCCAAAACTGCCTTTACCTGGGGTGAACTGCCCCCACTGAAAGGTACATGACCACATGGTAGAGCTCAGAAGTGACTTGGAGCTCAACTGTCTGTGTCCGGAAGATTGCTGGGTCTGTCTCACAGAAATGATAGTTCCTTCCCTACAGAGAGTGGGAGAGCCCAACACACAGGCCTTTTGCAGGACATCAGGGATGGGTCTGGCCTGTTGGCCTCTGCAGCCTCAGCGTCTCATCCTTGTACACTATGTTCCAGCCACACATGCCTCTTCCCAGTCCCCTTACTCACCATCCTGTCTCCTGCTGGAGAACCCCACACATACAGTCCTGCTGCCTACAGAGCTTTCTCTCCCTCTTCCCTGGTTAAGGCTGACTCGTTTCTGTACCATCCCACGAGTGGCAGGCATGAACATTTAAAGCACACGTTCTGAATTTGAATCTCGGTTCTGCCACATACTACCTGTATAACCTTGGGCAAGTTATTTAACCTTCCTGTGCATCAGCATTCTCATCTGAAAAATGGAGAGATGTAATAGTGATGCCTATTAGAATAATTCTGACAATATTAAGGCTGGTGTGATATGAATAATACATATAAAGCATTTAGCAAAGGGCCCTGCACTTAGTAAATGTTCAGCCAGCGTGAGCTATTTTTATAGCCATTATCTGAAGTCCCATCCATCTCAGACCTCGCCGACTAGGTCAGGTCACCCTCTTCTTATCCCTCCATAGCCTTGAGTAATTCCACTTTAAGGTGTTTATTAAAATTGCAGCTGTATACTTTTCCAAGTTATTTTATGTCAGCCCGCACCTCTCTAATTCATAGTTTTTGAGGCCAGATTTCCTTCTTGGTTTCTTATTTAAGAGAGTACCAGGCATGTGGTAGGTAGGTAGGTATCCAAGGATGGACAGATGGACGGATGGATGGATAGATGGATGGATGGATGGATGGATGGATGGATGGATGGATGATAGATGCCTATCTGTGGCAGTTACTGATGGCAGGTTTCCATGTACCTCTTTGCCTCTAAACTATGCATTTTCTTTTTATTTCTTCATGTCCCCATATTATAACTTAGTCCTCCCAGGGGCAATTGGAGGCATTATTTGTCTCTGTAAAAAGGGGCTAAGAACATTTCTTCAGACACTTATTGAGCACTGCCTGTATGCTCAGTGTAGTGCTAGGAGTAAGCAAAAAGTGAACGGCAGAGTCTCGTGCAGGTCTCAGTGTAGTTGGGGGAGACAGACACATTAAAATTGGCTAGAATAAAATACTGCAGGTGTCATGGTGGGGCCAGGCACTGGGCTTTACAGAAACCGAGAGCAGAGGCATCTCTTAGGAGGTGACGAGGATGATCAGACACGATTTAGAAGTCCAGGGGACCATTGAGCTCTGTGTTAAGGGCAAGTAGGAATTGAACTTGGTAATGTTCCCAGCAGAGGCAAGAAACAACATTCACTATTGGGAAGTCAATTACGAGCTTGCTAGTGGGATGTCATAAAGTTCTAACTTCGTTCCCACAGGACAGAGTGTGTTTGCAGCCAGCCTTGTGCTGAGTTGAATGATGGCTGTTTATGGCTTAGGTATTTTCCTTCCTTGTCCTGACTTAAGGCAGCGTTGGTGCCCCCTTGTGGAAGTAGTGAGTGGTGATGGAACTGTCTTAGCAGCACACTGTGGGAAATGTCAGTGTTTATTTACCATGACTTATGTAAACACTTGTTTATTGTACATCAGAATCCTCTTGAGTTTCATTTAAAAGGACTTAATGCTCTCACCCCTGAATTAGATATTCTTGCTTCTTCAAAAGCTGTTGGTTTTACCCTCACCATGTAAAGTAGTATAACTTGCATTTATAGTATGCATTTATACACATACACACACACACACATATATATTTGAGCTAATAATGCAGTGAACTAAGTTTTAATAGCTTTGGGCATTAGTGATCCCTATTTAAAAACACACACACCTACAGACCCACACTTACACAACTGAACCTTCAAAGACCTCAGAATAATTGTGAAGCTACCTGTATAATAACTGTATAATAAAAGGAAGCTAACTGGAAGACCAAACCTTCAGCCACAGGTAGCATTTTGGAAGACTCAGCCATGGGTAGCATTTTGGAAGCATCCTGAAATGATAAGAGTTGTGTTCGCTCCTTCACTTCTGATACAAGTAAGATGGACCATTCCCAACATCTTGTAAAGAGCATTTTCCTTTAAAAGTAGGAGTTCTAGGACAGGCCTTATTTTTTCCTGTCTTTTTAAAGATATATTTTATTTTATTTTGTGTTTTTTTAGAGACAGGGTCTCATTCTGTCACCCAGGCTGGAGTACAGTGGTGCAATCATAACTCAACACAGCCTCGAACTCCTGGGCTCAGGCGACCCTCCCACCTCAGCCTCCCAAGTAGCTGAGATTACAGGTGCCTGCCACCATACCCAGCTGGCTAATATGTTTTTAATTTTTATTTTTTGTAGAGATGGGGTCTAGTTCTGTTTTCCAGGCTGGTCTCAAACTCCTAGCCTCAAGTGATCCTCCCTCCTCGGCCTCCCAAAGTGCTGGGATTACAGGCATAAACCACTGTGCCTGGGCTTTATTTTATTTTTCATTGACCCATAACAATTGTACATATATGGTGTATAGTGGTAATGCTTTGATACATGTATACAATGTGTAATGATCAAATTAGAGTAATTAACATTTCAGTTACCTCAAACATTTCTCATTTCTTTCTGGTGAGAACATTTAAAATCCTCTCTTCTATTGCCTGTAATATTAGCACCTTGCTTCATGCCTGATCCATAAACAAAGACACTGATTTTTTGTTTCCATTCTTCTTTAAGCAGTTATGAGGCCTTGTGATATCCAGAGATTCCAAAATAATGTTTGACGTTTCTAAAATCTTAAGAGAAATGAAGCATTCACCCTTAATAACATACAGGCTGAAGTGTTTATTTTTGACTGGGATTGAATTAAACCAAGTGGAGCAAAACAGAACAAAATTGCTTATCTTGTACTGACCAGAAACCCTTACTACCATTTATTGGCGCAAAAAAAAAAAAAAAAAGAAAGAAAGAAAGAAAGAAAAAAAAGAAAAAAGAAACAATTCATTATCAAATATAGCTTATTTGGATGAGTAAGATTTTTTTAAAAGCATGAACTTGCAGGGAATTGATAATTAAAGAATTCCTTGATGAAAAGTTTCGTAACCCCTAGCTAGGGGTTTCTAAAGTCTTTTCTGTTTCTCTTTTAACTTCTTTTTAACTTTAATATTTAGTGGGGGAGGGGGAACCTAGAAAGTACAAAGGGGTAGTTTTAGAAGATTCTCTTTAACATTCCTTAAAAATCCTTTGATTTTTCATTCTACTTGATGACAACTGCCATTTGCCCTCAAGCCGGCCACCAGTCCTGAGGTTATTTTTCCCTTGTTTGTTCTTTGGCTTCACAGATATGATTGACAATCTGCTGTCCCCAGATCTTATTGATGGTGTGCTCACCAAACTGGTCCTCGTCAACGCAGTGTATTTCAAGGGTCTGTGGAAATCACGGTTCCAACCTGAGAACACAAAGAAACGCACTTTCATGGCAGCCGATGGGAAATCCTATCAAGTGCCAATGCTGGCCCAGCTCTCCGTGTTCCGGTCTGGTGAGTTCATGCTCGGCGAGGCCTGTTCTAGGATATGCTGGCGGCAGAAAGGCCCTTGAGTGCTTTAACTTAACTCAAGAGTAAATCTAACTTTTCGTCTTTTAAAAAAGTGGGAAACAGAGCAGGATGCTGAGAGGCAGGATTTTTATAAAGCTCACGTAAATCTGTGTTATGTACAAAGGTGACTATGCATAGCATAATATGCATAATGTATGCATATGTTATGTACAAAAAGTATTAATGCATGGCATGTGTAGGCTTTTTGGTTGAAAACTTAAAGACAAAAGGACAATTCATGGAATAAGTATAAGTGAGCAGTAAACCTGTGAAGGCATCAGCAACTCATTAGCAGTCTTACATTACTAAATTAAAAATTGGATTTCTTTTTTACTTAACAGATTGGCAAAAATTAGAAAGGTTGATAAAATCCCTTGATGGCTTTGGTGGGGAGGAAGCAGGACCCTTGGGCACTGTTTGTGGCAGGGATCTGTGGTCTGAGGACTTCCTAGGGGTCCTGGCTCCGGCAGTCCCACTCCGGGGAATCTATACTCTGAACATAAGCACACACTGACAAATAAATATAAGCCAAATACAAATATACAGTGGAATGTATATGTGGTCATGAGACTTAGATTTATATAAGTGGAAGGATTATGCAATATATGGTTGATTTCAGAAAATGAGATATAGAACAGCAGATGTCAATCTTGTTTATGTAAAATTCTTTCTTTACATTAACATGTCTATAGAGATAGGTCTCAGAGGATGTTCAGTAAAAAATGTTAATGGTAGGATTTCAGAAAAATTATTTCTAAATTTGAAAAAAAAAAAGTTTTTTGAGATAGAGTCTCACTGTGTCACCCAGGCTAGACTGTGGTGGCACAAGCATGGCTCACCACAGCCTTGACCTCTTGGACTCAAGCAGTCCTCCCACCTGAGCCTCTCATGTAGCTGGCACCACAGGCATGCACCACCACGGCCAGCTAATTTGTTTACTTTTTGTACAAATGGGGTTTTGCCGTGTTGCCCAGGCTAGTCTTGAACTCCTGGGCCTAAGTGATCCACCTGCCTTGGCCTCTCAAACTGCTGGGATTACAGGCATGAGCCACCGCGCCAGGCTCAAGTGAACTTCTAAAATCACTTTGCCTGGGATATGAGCAGGTCAATCTTTTGTACACACTTTACAGTCCATAAAAAAATAAAATAAAAAGTGAGGGGGCCCTCATTTACTATATGTTTCTCTTGCTGAAAAAAAAAAAAAAACAAGTTAATAGTTCAAGATTAAAATGCAAGGATTCCATTAACATTCGTATGGAAGATTTAAAAATGTTTGTTTTTACAGAAATGTAACATGCATTTCTTGAGTAGACAGGATATTCTCAGAGAGTTACATGCCACGGTAGCTCTTCATTTGGAAGCTGATTTGCCTAGAATATATGTGTGTTTTATAGAAAATAATGCACAAATACATTCTTATTGTCAAAGATTTAAACCCTACGGAACCCCCAGAGTGTGTTGGTATCTTTCCTCCACTTTCCCTGATTCGTGCCTCGCTTCTTCACCCGCTTCCACCCTGCCCTGGGCCCCCTTGCTCTCTGGCTTCTTGCTGGGTTGGCTGGTGGGAGCCGGCAGGCGATAGGAAGGACAGAGGAGAAAGGGGTCAGGGTATTTACTTCCCAGGCCTCCGCTTACGGAGTCATGGGCCAGCTGCATTCCTCTACCAAAGGTTTCAGCTTCTGCCAGGCTTCTGCCCAAGAGCTCTTTCTCATTGGGTCACCACCCCCTCTTCCTTCCTCCCAGCCCAAGGCTAGCCATGGTGCCCACCGTTTCTTGTCCAGGGTACTGTCCATCATGTTTCTCTGTATCCTGTCTATGCTTTACAAGTGGTCCTTCATCAAATTCTGCCTAAATGACCCAATTTGATGTTTACTTTCTGCCCTCACTGATCTGTACCTAATTCGGACCAGAATAAGAAAGTCCCCTGCTCACTCCTGTTCTCATTCCCTCACAAGTAAACACGGCGAACGGCTTAGCTCACCCTTCTCAACCTCCTTTCCATGCCTGTCATCGGGTTTCACTGAGGAACCTGGAACTGGACGCGACTCTGTTCTGGGCCATGCAGCAGAGCGTGAGAGTGTCATAAGTTCCCTGTTTTCTTGCTTTGGCCAAAACCCAGCTTCTCATGATAAGACAGGGAAGGATTGTCTTGACAGGGCTGTGAAGAAAGCACTACCATTTACAGTGACCCCAGGTGGCTGTTTGTTTCCGTTTCCACAGACCGTCCGTCACTTTCTGCCTGTTTCCTCACTCTGACCTACAGGAGTGGCCTAGCTCGAACTGCTCTGTCCAGACCCACAGGGCCCAGGGTGCCACCTGTCGGATGCTTCCTGGGCCTCAGCCATGCCTCACTATTCCGGGTCACTTTGTCAAAACATTGTCATTCAGTTTATCTGCCTTCTTGACTGTTTTCCCCAAGATATCATCAAGGGCTCTGAGAATATTTGCTTGATCACAAAAGGAGAGTGAACACTAAGAAGAAAACCTTTCTGATTTATGCCCCGTAAAGTAGAAGCACTTCAAGGGTAGAAACTTTTCTATTAAGAAAAAAAGAAGCCTTAAAATCATTTTTAGTAGAATTCTATTTCACGCTCATTGCAAAATCCTCAGTATACCTCAATATATAATATATGTGGCAGAAAGTAAAAGTTCCCCTAAAATCCTGTTTCCTTGGATAAAAATTCCTATTAAGTATCAAGTACATCATTTGAGAACCTTTCTAGGGATATGTAAAATATGTCTGTGAAACTTTTTGCATACATACATAGGATTGTACTGTAATTTCTATTCTATGATCTGCTTTCATTAGACAGTGGACAACTTTTTGTGCCAATTCATAAGGATTTACTTGATTCTTTTATCAGCCACGTAATATTCCATAATATAAATGTATCTTAATATCCTATGGAAGGCCATTTGCTTTTTTTCTATAATAGCACTGCAGTGAGTATTCTTGTACATACATTTTTCAATACTTGCATCAGTAAATTTCTACAGGTAATTTCCTGGAATAGGGATGAATGGCCTAGGAATCTCCAAGTCAGTTGTTACAAATGTTTTATGGTTATGAATTTAGACATTTGATGCTTTATTTTGGAAAAAATCCCACAAAGAATAACATTTATATTTCCATCTTCTTTTCTCCTGAGTTTCCAGCTCATACCTGTCTGTTCACATGACGTCTTAACTTGGTTGCCTACTGAATTCTAGTCGCGTAGATGAAACTCATTTATGCCAGGCACCGTGGCACACACCTGTAATTCCAGCACTTTGGGAAGCTGAGGCAGGAGGATCGCTTGAACCCGGGAGTTCAAGATGAGCCTTGGCAACAGAGTGAGAATCTACAAAAAAAAGTTTAAAAATTAGCCAGGCATGGTGGTGCTCACCTGTGGTCCCAGCTGCTCAGGAGTGTGAGGTGGGGGAATCTCTTGAGCCCAAAATGTTGAGGTGGCAGTGAGCCCTGATCACATCACTGCTTTCCAGCCTGGGGAACAGAGCAAGACCCTGTCTCAATAAATAAATATACGTATTGCCCTTGCCCATTTAGTTCTCAACCCACAGTTCCTTAGCAGCAAATGGCACCAATACTCACCCAGTTGCTTGCGCCACCCCTCCTTCCCCACTATGCTCCCCGAACTCCCTTTGGACTCCAGCCTAGAATGTAGAGTGCTGCACACAGTGGGGCATTTTGCTATTGTTTTTCCAAAATGTCCATTTCAATTTCTACTAAAGTACAGTTTAAAAAGTTTTTCAAGTTCTCAGGAAATCCATATTTACTTGTAGTAGAAGGTAATTAGAGGGACTTTCATCTATGAAGGTTTTCTGATATTAAATATTTAAGATACCCTCCCTGATTGTACAGGCTGAGTTCCTAACATTTCAGTGAGCCTAGTTACGTCTTCCCTAGTAGCACTTAAAGTGGAAATCGGATTACTTCAGGGGCTTTCTGGAAAAACTAGGTCACCCAAAACACCACTTAGAGAAAGTTGTAAATCTCCTCCACATTTTTAATACGTGATTCTTCACTTATTATCTGCCACCATTCATCTAAGAGAAAATCCTTATTTTCTCTTTTTCATCTCTGCTCCTTTTCAGAGTTAATCAACATATTATACTTACGTTTTTATATACTGCAGAAATGATCCTTGTTAAAGAATACTCAGTCTGCCTTCCAGAGGTTAAAGAATAGAGAGCATCGGGTAGGGGATTTTAAAGGGAAAAGCTCTGGGACGACGAGAGGCTCCATGCTCCGACACAAGGCTCCCAAGTCCCCTTCCTTACTTGATTCATTCTGCCTGGGAGTTATGCTTTTATCAGTACGTCATATGCCACGTGGTTTACCTGGGTGGGCCAATTTTGTGTTTAGACTGTGAGCAGGGACCTCGAATTGCAAGAAGCGAGGTATTTTACACAGCTTCTTACATCAATAGATGGCAGTTTTTGCTGTGGCCCAGCTTATGCTGAGTTCTTGGTATGTGTCGTCTCATTGAATGTTCCCATTCTGTAAAGTAGGTGCCATTATTATAGCTTTTTACAGATAAACTAAGACTTGGAGTCAAGGAACTTGCCAAGGTCTCAGAGCTAGTGTGCTGCAGGTGCAGGATTTGAATACAGGTCTTATAACCCCAGATCTCGTGGCCTTGGCACGTGCCCGCTATAAGAGGACGCAGTGCTTGAGTGACCAGGTAGACAGAAAAGGTGTTATTTTATCTACCAGCTCCTCAAGGCACCAAATAAAGGTAAGTATGGATATGTCTGATGCACCCTGGCTACCGCTGGTCATCAGCTTCTGTGGTCAGAAGCAGAAGGAGTGGGGGGAACTCAGTCATCAAGCAGAGGTGACTGGATGCAGAATGGTTCATGGTTATTAGTGTTACTCATCAGTTAATGATGGATCCAGCCAAGGATGGATTAACTGGTGAAGCTAGATGATATCTCTCCTCCCTCAAACACATTCCAGCTCATAACTTTTCATTATTCATTACTTCGATCCTTCTTAACAGAATAGTAAACATTTCTAGAAGCAGTTAACACCTCCAGGTCCTTATTTCATGCCCTGGAGCCATCACTTATTAACCACTTCCCAAATTTCACAGTTTCAGAAAATTAGCTCTGCCAGAATAGGGACTTAATGTTTTCTTCAAGGATTAAAGAGCTCATTAGGAAGTGATTTTTTCTCACTTTCCCATTGATTTTTCTGTTTCTGCTGAGACCATTTTGTTATGCAGGCTAAGAGTAAAGACGAAGAATCCTCTCTTTCATTCTTAGGTTGCCACAAGACAAAAGCCAGGCTCGGGTGAGAGTTCGAAGCACATGGGAGCTGAGGCGGGCTGCACCTGGGTTACTGAACAGCCCTGCAGGAAATGCAGTGTGCTAGGACCAGGAGAGCCCCAGTTCCTCTGCCAGTTGTCTATGTTGTTTCTTCCTTAGGGAAAAACTGTAGTGTCATCCTGTAGTGCCATATATTCTAATAACCTCACTATTTTTATCATATTTCAGTGTTCATCAAGTTCACTCTCTTTCCCTCCCTTGGTATCTTTCTCTTCATCTCTCTCTCTGTCCATCCCTCCCAACCCTGTTCTATGGAGAACTGGCATATTGAAGTTCCCTGTCTTAAAAGGCAGTGATTGGCACATGTCATCTCCAAAGAAAAGATCAGTGAAAATCATGCAGGAAACTTGCTTTCTCTCTTCTTGTTTGCTGAACTCCCAAGGATGTGGAATCTGTTTTGTCTGTAGAGCATCTTGTAGGTAGACTGCTCTCCAAATAACATTTGAGAAATGCTGGCTTACATTATTCTTGGGTTTTCATTATTAAGTAGAAGTACCATAAAATATCTAAAACCCCAATGGTGATTCCTGGAATGGGTGAAGAGTGAATAGGGCAGGGTGGTGAAGTAGGAGGAAGACAATCCTTGGTCTCTAAACCTCCACATGAGCATAAGCTCTTTATGGTACTGAAGGGACTTTTTGACATACCTCATTGTATTTAAAAGACTGAAAACACATCTGTGTCATCGTAGTATGGATGAAAGTACAGTGACGTTTAATAGAACTCCATGTGCTTTCATAAGGAGCTTCATTTTATTTATTTATTTATTTAGCTAGATGTTCATGCAGCCAGTTTTTCTGTTATACCCTAAGAGTTAGACTCTCCTGGCTCCTCACTTCTTAGCCATGCATCCTTTGGAGGTTACTTCATTTCTCTAAAGGTGGCTTCCTCAATTGCAAAATAGCGCTTCTTATGCCTACCCCATGAGGTGCTGTAGATCCTCAACCTGCTGCAGGATATAGGCCTGGCACAGAGTGGACCCTGTGGATGCTGTGTATCCCTCTCTCTCTTCACATGCACATGTAGGCTTATCCAAAATGAGGACTATAGGAAATAAAATTGCACCATGTTGGGATTCCTGCTCAATGAGTCAATTTTAGCTGGTCTTGTCCCCAACACAGCAAAATGGGTAATTACGTGAGATAATGGATATGTTAATTTGCTTTACCATAGTAACTATTTTACTATGTATACGTATCCCATAACATCATATTGTGTACCTTAATATACACAATACAGTTTATTAAAAAAAAAAAAAAAAAACCAAAAAACTAAAAACAAAAAGGAATGATTCTAAGGCAGCTTGAATGTATTCTTTTATTCATGTAAGGGTCAACTTCTTGCAAAGCACTGAATTTTAAGCACTTTATGATTTAGTTAAATTCTCCTCAACAGAATTAAAGTGATTTCAGTGATACCCAAAGGCATTCTGTCTAGACTGAAGAAAGGAGAATTCTTCACCGGGAAAGGAAGAAATAATTGTCCTTATCTTTGTCCTTCTAAGGAAGCTATTTGTGGAAAAGGGAAGTTCTCCAACTGAGTTGCTCTCTGAAGCTATCCCGGTGGCCAGCAAGCACTCATGCCGCTTCTAGAAGTCAACAAGGATACACTGAATCTGCTTCTGATTTCTTTAGGGTCGACAAGTGCCCCCAATGATTTATGGTACAACTTCATTGAACTGCCCTACCACGGGGAAAGCATCAGCATGCTGATTGCACTGCCGACCGAGAGCTCCACTCCGCTGTCTGCCATCATCCCACACATCAGCGCCAAGACCATAGACAGCTGGATGAGCATCATGGTGCCCAAGAGGGTGCAGGTGATCCTGCCCAAGTAAGTGGCCCCTTCCCCTCAAAGAAAACAGTGGCATTGTTCAATCAGCAGCTGTTATGTCGGACACCAGACAACATGAGGCAAAAATATGGCACATCATGAAGCCTGTTCTGTTCTGCAGAAATTTCATGGTGAGATTACGAGGCCATGCTTTTCTAAACGCTTTTATTCAATGCCTGTGCTTCCTGTATGGTAAGATGTGGATCGTAAGAAAGGAGAGAGGGCAGCCTTGGTTTCTAAACCTTCACATGAGCGTAAGCTCTTCAGGGTACTGCAGGGGCTTTTTGACATATCTCATTGTATTTAAAAGACTGAAAATATGTGTGTCATCATAGTATGGATGAAAGTACAGTGAAGTTTAGTAGAACTCCATGTGCTTTCATAAGGAGCTTCATTTTAGTTTGTTTATTTAGCTAGAAGTTCAGGAAGACCACAGCAGCCAGTTTTTCTATTATACCCTAAGAGTAAGACAGAGATGGAATTTGAGCTGTTATGACTTGAAGCCATGGGAAAAGTAACCCCAAATCCTGTATGAATCTTCATGTTCTAACAGGTCAGCGAATGCTTTGTCCAGAACTGTGAAGAAGCAATGAACGTTGTTCCCTTTCTATGAACTTCTCAACATTGCTGCCTTCCTACCATCCAGGGCTTTTAACAACCCAGGTCTTGGTGGTAGTGGAGAGTTCTAATAGCTTTTGATTCTTTGGTCACTGAGTTAAGTAATCAGAGTAACACATTCACAATAAGTGTTACTAATCCTTTCAAGATTTTTATTTTTATTTTTATTTTTTGGTAAAATAAGCCTTCAGGTAGGCAATGCTTGATATAAATAAATAAATAAGATGGTGGCATCATAGGTCTCAATGGGTGAAGAACAGGTTCTTAACCATTATAGCCTGTCTGTGGTGAGAATCCGCCCCCCTCTCCTTGGTGCTCTTCCACAGGATGAGATCAAATCTGATAAAGCATCCTCTGATGATAGTAACTGACATTTACACATCTATATCCATGTATCCCCAAGGCCAAGTAGTTCACAAATATTCAGGAAACCTATGTTATACCCAAATATAATACCGTGTCACCTATGCCTAATCTTTGCTCCTGTTTTAATAGTAAAATACTTTGAGAATCTCAAAAGGGGCTGGGCACGGTGGCTCACGCCTGTAATCCCAACACTTTGGGAGACCGAGGCGGGCGGATCACGAGGTCAGAAGTTCGAGACTAGCCTGGCCAACATGGAAAAACCCTGTCTGTACTAAAAATACAAATATCTAAAACCCCTAGCCAGGCATAGTGGTGGGTGCCTGTAATCCCAGCTACTTGGGTGGCTGAGGCAGGAGAATTGCTTGAACCCAGGAGGCAGAGGTTGCAGTGAGCCAAGATCGCACCATTGCCCTCCAGCCTGGGCGACAGAGCAAGACTCTGTCTCAAAAAAAAAGAATCCCAAAATGAACTATCAGGAATGTTTCTCCTCTCTTTTGACCATCTCCAATCCCAATAAGGATGGCAGGTCTTAGAGCAGCCAAGATGAGTATGGAGAAACTTTAGCTGGATATGGGGAAGAATGATAGATCTTCCAGAGTGCTGGGAACTTGTTAACACTCAGCCTCCACGTCAGTATAAAAGAAGTATGTTTATGTTTGTAGATCTTCCTAAGTATTGGAACAGGGGGCCAATTACACCTGAGGGTGGGAGTGCCCATTCTTGCCGTTAGTATGTACGACTCATTTTGCCAACTGTAGGAGAGATGAGGTGTCCTTTACTTATCTGGTATTTAAATTTGGAATTCAAATTTAAGATGCAATTCAGATCGGTATTCAGATATTACTTTAAAAGAATCAGTTTGTAAACATGCACCGACTCTATCATGTTGCGGCATTTATAGCCTCGTGATTTTTTTCTCCATTTCTGCTTTCATGCTAGGTTCACAGCTGTAGCACAAACAGATTTGAAGGAGCCGCTGAAAGCCCTTGGCATTACCGACATGTTTGATTCATCAAAGGCAAATTTTACAAAAATAACAAGTATGTTCAATTTGAAATGTATTTGTATACTTGAAGAAAGTGTTACAAACTGAGACTGATTTGTTCAGAGGAAAAAGGATCAGAATTAGGAATGTGTTGCCCTAAAACTGTACAGGTTTCGATATATTGCCAAATGATGCTATTGACCTTTGTTTATTTATTTATTGACCTTCGTTTATTTATTTTTTTCTTTTATCTTTTTGTTTCAATAGTTTTTCGGGTACAAGTGGTTTTTGGTTACATGGATCAATTATATAGCGATGAAGTCTGAGATTTTAGTGCACCCCTCCCCCAAGTAGTGTACATTGTACCCAATATTTATTAGTAGATTTTTAGCTCCTCACCAACCCACCCTCCTCCTCCTGAGTCTCTGTAGTCCATTATGCCACTCTCTATGCCTTTGCATACCCATAGCTTGTCTCCCATTTATAAGCAAGAACATACAGTATTTGGTTCTCCATTCTTGAGTTACTTCATTTAGAATAATGGCCTCCAGCTCCATTCAAGTTGCTGCAAAAGACATTATTTCATTCTTTTATGACTGAGTAGTATTCCATGGTATATACATACCTCATTTTCTTTATCTAGTCATTGCTCTCGACCTTAAATTTAAGTAAGCGTCCTTACATTTTGCACGTACATTTCATGGGAAGCCCCAGTGACTACATAAAGGAGTATTTCATGTACTGCTTTTATTAATATTGGCTCTGACTTAGATATTGTCGCTCTGTTTTCAAATGCCAACTTTTTCCTTTTGCTTGAAAAAAATCAAGACTGCAGGCATACACTATACCCAGATATGTATTTTGGCATTTCATGCTCATTAATCTGAAACAATATAAATTCAAATGAATCTGATGAAAATTTTTCTTTGTCAAAGCAATTAAGGCATACTTTTCATTTGCCAGGAGTGTATGTACCTTTCTCTAGAGTTATGTTTGAATGGTCAGTCCTTTGTTCTTTAAATTTAGAATACAGCAATCTTTCCAAGGAAAAGTCATGGCTTGAACATGATTTGTACTCCAGTTTGCAAATAACCTTGAATGGTAAGAAATTAGCTCATTGCCAGCTTCAGTTGTGTGCTAGTAAACACCTAGTACCTGTTCTGGGGACAAACATGACTGCCCTGGTGAACCTGAGCTCCGTGGATATTCTCATAGCCATTAATCCCTCATGACTCAAACTCAGGCCTCCAGCCCAGCAGCATTAACATCACCCGGGAGCTGGTTTGAAATGCACAGTCTTGGGTGTAACCCAGACCCACTGAACCAGAATCCATTTTAACACAGTCCCTCAGCCCAGCAAAGACTGAGAAGTACCATTTTCATCTGCACGTTCCCCTTTGAGGTTATTCATAGCAGCTGAAATGCTAAATAGGGGGTATTCACAGGAAGAACCAGGTGCCCCAAATTCTCCTGGAGAGTTCTCTTTAACACTGCATGTAACTTGGGCCCTATAAATGTGCATCTTAGTCACAATTTGGTCATATTAGAGCTGGGCATTGGTGCAGATAGTTCAAAAGCAGATGACACAAAAAGCACATTTTCCGTTTGCATCCAGACCTATGTCCCATCCAGACTAATGTCAACTTCAGTTTGCATTCTCTGTGAAAGCTATACCCAGTGGGTGCTGCTGGAATGGTCAGAATTTGCTGAGAAGTAAAGTGAGTTCACCAGAAGGTCCCTGAGACACAACTGCATTTATGCCTTGGCCCTTCCAGGAGAATCTAAACTCTTCTCTTGTTCGGCACTCTTCTCTCACTTATATGCCCATGAGATGAGTGGCTGTTGTGAAGAGCCCGGACTTACTCTGCCACTAACTAGCCGTATGATTGCAGGGAAGATTACTTAACATTCTAGGGCTCAGTTTCCCCATCTGTCAGTGCTGTCTGAAATCCCTTTTGCATCTGCATTCTGTAACTGAAAAATAATCTTGTTGCCTTGCTGCTTCCAGAAAACTGGGCTTCCTTTTTATAGCTCTGCTCTTTTCATTTTTTAAATACAATTCTAGTGATCAGAACTGAACTGATAGAGGCACTAAATCATTTGAGGGCCTGGGCCCCTCTCCAGAAGTGAGTATCACAGTTCACCTAGCAGGGACTGAAATTCACAAGTAACAGCTGTCTGCAGCCTTCAACACCAGGACTGTCAGAGGTCATGTCTTCTGACACTTTAAAAATTGGAATTTGCCATGGCTTTGAGCTTTGAGGTTACTTCCCCAACCAACCAATGGCCTGCTGATCAAACAAATGCTGATACTGTTTTATTTTCTGGAAACAGGGTCAGAAAACCTCCATGTTTCTCATATCTTGCAAAAAGCAAAAATTGAAGTCAGTGAAGATGGAACCAAAGCTTCAGCAGCAACAAGTAAGCACTGGGTCACATGGCAGGACTTCCTCTAGCAGGGGAGCAGACACACTGCTGTATACTCATTGGTTGAGCAAATATGTAACGCACCCTCTTTCCAGGCAGGCACTGTGTGTGGGTTGACCCTCGGGAGACAGCAGTGAGTACAGACAGATTGAACACCTGTAACCACAAAGCTCAGAATCTGTTTCATTAAAGAAGAGCATTTCAGTGAGAGAAACTCCTCTGGGACAGGAGTCAGCAAACTTCTATAAAGAGCCAGAAAGTATGTATTTCAGATTTGTGTGTCATACCGTCTCCATCACAGATTCTTAGCTCTGCCATTGTAGCATGAAAACAGCCAACAACAATACAAGTAAACAGATGTGGCTGTGTTCCAATAAAACTTTATTTATAAAAACAGGATTTGGCCTGAGAGACTTGCCTTGAGGACAATGGTTTGCTGACCCCTGCTCTCAGGAGGATAAAACATGTTCTGGCTTCTTACTGGCAAAAAAAAGACCAATCTTCAGATTTAAACATAAAATAAACAACAAATACTTAAAAGAAAATAGGCAATCAGGTCTATCCAGGATAAACTGAAGAATTCGCCAGCATCTGTTCAATTGTGGCAGGATTGCTTTACAGCCTTCCTTGATAATTAGAACATCCACATCTGCTTCCTCCTCAGTGGTTTACATAATGAAGGAGAAAACAGAACAATCGTAAGTCAGTTTTTTTCACCCCTCGTTATCTGTAGGAAATTAGATGAATAGATTTGGCCAACTCTGTGAGCCCATAAAGTGAAAATCTTAGCTACACTTGCAGCTGGGTCAAATATCCTGGTTACTGAAACATACCAGTTATACTCACAATAGATGTGTTACTGCCTTTCTCGAATATATATATATATATATATATATATATATATATATATATTTATTTATTTTTTTAAGACGGAGTCTCGCTCTGTCACCCAGGCTGGAGTGCAGTGGCTGGATCTCAGCTCACTACAAGCTCCGCCTCCCGGGTTTACACCATTCTCCTGCCTCAGCCTCCCGAGTAACTGGGACTACAGGCACCCGCCACCTCCCCCAGCTAGTTTTTTTGTATTTTTTAGTAGAGACAGGGTTTCACCGTGTTAGCCAGAATGGTCCCCATCTCCTGACCTCATGATCCGCCCGTCTCAGACTCCCAAGTGCTGGGATTACAGGCTTGAGCCACCGCGCCCGGCCTCGAATAAACATTTTAAAAATTCCTTTAAAGTAGCATTTAAAACAAAGACCCTGGAATAAGAGGGTTGGAAATTTTAAGATGCTCTTTGTCTTTTCTAGGTAATTTAAGTAGTAACATTTAAAAGTCATTGACCAATTTTGCCGAGTGTAACTATCAGGACCAGCTACATAGTTTGTGGGGTCCTGTGCAAAATGAAAATATGGAGCCCCTTGTTCAAAATGTATTTAGAGTTTCAAGATAGCAACAGCAGAGTATTAAACCCAGTGCAAGGCCCCATGTAACTGCCCAGGTCTTCCTGTCTTAGTCTGCCTGGGCTGCCATGACAAAATACCATTGACTGGGTGGTTTAAACAACAGAACTTGTACTTCTGGAGACTGGGAGTTCAAGATCAAGGTGTTGGTGTTGGCAGGTTTGTTTCTCCTGATACCTCTGGATCTCCAGAGGTTGCCCCTCCCTGTGTCCTCACATGGTCTTTTCTCCATGTGACACATCCCTGGTGTCTCTCCCGCTTCAAATAAGGACAACAGTCCTATTAGAATAGAACCCTACTTAACCTTCATTGCCTCCTCAAAGGCATTATCTCCAAATATAGTCATATTAGGGGTTTGGGGCTTCAGCATATCAATCTGGGGGGAGACACAGTTCAGTCCATAACACCTGCTATTTAATACTTGTTTTTAATAACCCTGGGAAAAGGCCTTGCTCCAGCATAACTGCAGGTGTTTCCTTTATAACATCAAGCCTAAGTGTTCAATACTTTATGGGGTTTGAGCAAGAGGACTGAGCCATTGCAACAGGCATGTGGTAGTAATGCCACACGCCTACCCTTCCTTGAGGCCCTGGCTCAGGCTTATTAAGTGGAAGCAAGCCTGGCAGACAAGGAATGACCAAGACCCATGAACCTAAAGAAGTTTGCTTTCCAAGTCAGATGCCTACACCTGGTGAGTTGAACAGCAGAGGTAGTAGGTCCTGGATGAGTGGTCTACATTCCAGTGCAAAGGAAACCTAAATAGTGTGCCAAAGGAGAAGGCACAGACACAAAAGCTAAGAATTGGGCTGGGCCTTTATATACAGAAAAGATTTAGAGAAGCTAAACAGGACCAGGGACCGGGCGCGGTGGGTCATGCCTGTAATCCCAGCACTTTGGGAGGCTGAGGCGGATGGATTACTTGAGGTCAGGAGTTCGAAACCAGCATGACCAACATAGTGAAACCCTGTCTCTACTAAAAATACAAAAATTAGTCGGGTGTAGTGGCGCACGCCTGTAGTCCCAGCTACTCAGGAGGCTGAGGCAGGAGAATCGCTTGAACCCGGGAGGCGGAGGTTGCAGTGAGCCGAGATCGCACCATTGCACTCCAGCCCGGGTAACAGAGTGAGACTCCATCTCAAAAAAAAAAAAAAAAAAAATGGAGCAGGGACTTTATCAGCAAAGCAGATGGTGTGAATAAAAAAATAGCTAATAATAACAATGAATATGCATTAGGTGTGTTTAGTGACAAACACTGTTCCAAGAGCTATAATATATCTTATGTCATTTAATTCTCATCAAAACTCTATGAGGAGTAAGTACGTTTATCAGAGATGGTGCTTCTGTAGAAGAGATGAGACAGTAATGTAAAGGGCCTGGCCCAAGGTAGGCTTAGTAAATGGTGACCATTGAGCCTGTTGTAACATGGTCAGCCTATGGGACAAACATTAAGTGTGTCTTCAGACACCAGCCTCTGAGGGTCCATGAAGCTGGCTAACTTGCTGGCCTTATGCTTACATGACTTCATGTAATGTGCACAACATATTTTCCTTTTCTTCCCATAGCTGCAATTCTAATTGCAAGATCATCGCCTCCCTGGTTTATAGTAGACAGACCTTTTCTGTTTTTCATCCGACATAATCCTACAGGTAAGTGACTCTCCTCTTCTATCATTCCCTCTTTGTTAGAATTTCAAAAGGTATCTTGCACTCTTCATTATATCCAACAGTGGTGCCCATAATCCATTTCCCTAATGTCAGTAGTTGCAAACGCTTCAAATATAACCACCCATGTTAAAGAGATAGGAAAACAAAGGCTGTGTTTACAGGTGTGATGGAATCTTTTACACACTGACAAGATTCTAGGTTTTGCGGATTGTTGTTTTTAACAGAGAGGCTCAGCATCCCTTAGGAACGAACACTTTTGACATCTATTGACTTTTCCATATTTATATAAATGTGGTCGTTCAATTTTGCTAGAAGCTATATAACTTCAGCTTTTGTGTATTAGCCTGTTCTCACGCTGTTATGAAGAAATACCCTAGAGTGGGTAATTTATAAGGAAAAGAGGTTTAATTGACTCACAGTTCCACATGGCTAGGGAAGCCTCAGGAAACTTACAATTATGGTGAAAGGCACCACTTCACAGGGTAGCAGTAGAGAAAATGAGAGCCGAGCAAAGTGGGGAACCCCTTATGAAACCATCAGATCTCGTGAGAACTCACTCACTATCACAAGAACAGTATGGGAGAAACTGCTCCTATGATTCAGTTATCTCCACCTGGTCCTGCCCTTAATAAATGGGGATTATTACAATTCAAGGCAAGATTTGGGTGGGGACACAGAGCCAAACCGTATCACTTTATAAGCCCACTCTATTGAAATGCCTTGGGAACTGTTAATACAGTAGATTTTTGCTCTGAGAGTCATGGTTCAAACTTGGCTCTGGCCTTAAGCCTCATCTTTAAAATGAGGACAACAGTAGTGCTGACTGCTTATTACAATTATGAAGTATAAGTTTATCTTTGTAGAGAGGTTGGCTTCTTGTTGGTACAAGAGTAGGCACTAATATATATTTTAGCTTTTACTGTTTTATGTAATCAGTAATACAAGATAGTTCCTTATCCTCTTATCTCATTGCATCTGTGATGTTCTAATTGGCATGCTCCAGAACTGAGCCAGCCAATGAGGGAGCTTCTGGCCACATGTGGCTACTTAACATTAACTTTAAAAATTCAATTTCTGGCCAGGTGCGGTGGCTCATGCCTGTAATCCCAGCACTTTGGGAGGCCAAGGCAGGTGAATCACCTGAGGTTAGGAGTTCGAGACCAGCCTGGCCAACATGGCAAAACCCCATCTCTGTTAAAAATACAAAAAATTGGCTGGCCATGATGGTGGGTGCCTGTAATCCCAGCTTGTTGGGAGGCTGAGGCAGGAGAATTGCTTGAACCTGGGAGGTGGAAATTGCAGTGAGCCAAGATTGCGCTATTGCACTCCAGCCTGGGTGAGAGAGCAAGACTCTGTCTCAGGAAATAAAAAATAAAATTAAAATTCAATTTCTTAGTCACACTAGCCACATTTTAAGCACTCTCTGGCCACATGTGACTGGTGGCTACCATGCTGGACAACAAAGATATAGACCATCTCTACCACTGCAGAAAGTTCTGCTGGGCAACACTAATGAGCAAGAGGTCAAACATGATTGTTTGCCTTCCCTTGTTTCTTATTTTAAGGATTATTAATTTAGAGTCATGCATTGTTTTCTTTTAATTCTGTAGGTGCTGTGTTATTCATGGGGCAGATAAACAAACCCTGAAGAGTACACAAAAGAAACCATGCAAAGGAACGACTACTTTGCTACAAAGAAAGACTCCTTTCCTGCATCTTTCATAGTTCTGTTAAATATTTTTGTACATCGCTTCTTTTTCAAAACTAGTTCTTAGGAACAGACTCGATGCAAGCGTTTCTGTTCTGGGAGGTATTGGAGGGAAAAAACAAGCAGGATGGCTGGAACACTGTACTGAGGAATGACTAGAAAGGCTTTGAAATGTCTAAAAGATTCTTTAAACTACTGAACTGTTACCTAGGTTAACAACCCTCTTGAGTATTTGCTGTTTGTCCAGTTCAGGAATTTTTGTTTTGTTTTGTCTATATGTGCGGCTTCTCAGAAGAAATTTAATCAGTGTGACAGAAAAAGAAATGTTTTATGGTAGCTTTTACTTTTTATGAAAAAAATATTATTTGCCTTTTAAATTCTTTTCCCCCATCCCCCTCCAAAGTCTTGATAGCAAGCATTATTTTGGGGGTAGAAACGGTGAAATCTCTAGCCTCTTTGTGTTTTTGTTGTTGTTGTTGTTGTTTTATATAATGCATGTATTCACTAAAATAAAGTTTAAAAAACCCATGTCTTGCTAGACAAGGTTGCTGTTGTGCAGTGTGCCTGTCACTACTGGTCTGTACTCCTTGGATTTGCATTTTTGTATTTTGTACAAAGTAAAAATAAACTGTTATGAGTAGTAAAAATAAAGCTATTTCTCTGCTATTTGAAAATACAATAGAAGAAACTGAGCCTTTTAAACATACGTCAGCGTCTTCTAATAAACCTTTGTACTTATGTAAACATCAGGAAATTCAAAGCCCGGAAACTTTTCCTATCCTTTTCCTCTAGACCTGACAATCAAACATTTTTACCCGCTTCAACATGCCTCATTTTATAGATCACTGCAACAGAGTTAACTACTACAGTAATCCTAGTTCTAATCTTAGCTACATTCACTCCAGCAATGCCTAAGAATTCTCAGCAAAGAAACGGATTTTGTAGCAAGTGCAGAATGAAGTTGCTGGGTGCCATGTATTTTGGAAATCTCAGGGAATAGGGACTGTTTCGTTTTTGGTGATTGGTGATAGGCAGGAGTTTTTCGAAATGACAGGTTTTTGTTGTTGTTGTTGTTGTTGTTTTGAGGTAACTTTCCAAGTTGAACTCAAACATCATAATTCTTTTTTTTTCCTTTTTCTTTTTATAGAGGTGTACCTCGCCATCTTGCCCAGGCTAGTCTTGAACTCCTGACCCCAAGTGATCCACCCACCTCAGCCCCACAAAGTGCTGGGATTACAGGCATGAGCCACACTGCGTTCAGCCTACAAACGTCCTAATTCTGATGTTACCATTTGCCTGCTTTTTAAAAAACAAATTTCTTACAGATTTATGTGGTCTAACCTAAATCAGAATTTAAGTTTAAAATATTTATCAAAACTTAAAAACATTTTTTCTTTTTAGCCCTTGAGTCCTACTTGCCTTTATGCATTAAAACCTCACATTCGGCACTCCATCAGTTTGCCATTTGGAATTATTTGTCAAGTGGGCTGAGCTTTGCTGTTCACAATTATGTATGTGTACTTTGTTTTTTCTGTTTTTCTTTTTTGAGACAGAGTCTTGCTCTGTCACCCAGGCTAGAGTGCAGTGGCGTGATCTCGACTGGCTGCAACCTCCACTTCCCGGGTTCAAGCAATTCTCCTGCCTCAGCCTCCCCAGTAGCTGGGAGTACAGGCACGCACCACTGCCCCTGGCTAATTTTGTATTTTTAGTAGAGACAGGGTTTCACCATGTTGGCCAGACTGGTCTCAAACTCCTGACCTCAGGTATCTGCCTGCCTCGGCCTCCCAAAGTGCTGGGATAACAGGCGTGAGCTACCGCGCCTGGCTTACATTTTGATATCTTTAAGTCAATGATCTGTAGGACTTGTCTTACTTCAAAATGATCAAATTTATGGAAACTCCTTTCCCTGAGGGAAACGGAAATAAATTTAGACTTGGAGACTGCCACAAAAAGTACAGGCCTGTGATAGATCATTTTTGCTGTGTAGACGTGGTTTTTTTTTCCTTAAAACTTTTTTTGGGAAATTTAAAATTCCATTTCCATGTTGCTATCTAATAATTGTTTTTGTTTAGAGATAGGGTCTCAGTACATTGCCTATGTTGCCCAGGCTGGTCTCAAACCCTTGGGCCTCCCAAAGCATTGGGATTACAGAAGTGAGTCACTGCACCAGGCCCCAATAATAATGTTATCTGCAAACATTAACAGTGTACTTGGTGTGATGAAGAACAGTGATTTCTCATTTTGCAAGGTTCTCATTTACACCATCACTCCGAGATCTCTCAGTTGCCCAGGCTGTAATGCCGTGGTGTGATCATGGCTCACTGCAGCCTTGAACTCCTGTGCTCAAGCAGCCCTTCTGCCTCAGCCTCCCGAATAGCTAGGACTTACAGGCATGCATCGCCACACCTGGTAATTAAAAAAAAATTTTTTTTTGTAGAGATGGGGGTCTTTGCTGTGTTGCCCAGGCTGCTCTCAAATTTCCTGGCCTCAAGCAGTCCTCCAGCCTCAGTATATAGACATGTTTGAGCAAATAATTTATCATATACATTAGATGTCACGCTGAGTTTGAACAAGAGACAGGCTGCAGTTTTCCTAAAGTAACAAAATGATAGACCTTTGTTAAAACTGAGACAAACCATCAGTGTAGTCATTCTTTTGACAGGTCATGAGATGGGTACTTCCGATTCTGCCTTGGACACCGTGGAGGAAGAGAGTAGGTACTGACACGAATACACTGAAAGCTCCGACTTACTGGCCTTTGACTCTGTCCTAAAAAGGAGATATGACAGGAAATTTTGAAGCAAAAGAAAATCCCAATCATAACAGAAGTTTACAAAGAGGCCCGAGGGAATGGCCTTTGTACCGGGAGTGCTGTTTTCTGAAAATGAAAAACTGAATAATACATGAGCTTCCCATGCAGGGGGAGTAAGAAAGAGCAGGAATGCAGGCGTTTCCCCTGGGCCAGCAGATGAGCAATTGCCCACTTCCTAAGAGTGATCAGTGGTGACAGCTGGGAGAGAGGTGAGAGCTGGGTAAGCTGGGAGGTGACTTCTATGTCCTCGACCTCCTGTGAACATTGAAAGACACTGTGTCATTTGCCTACTGAGAGTCTGCTTTGGGAGGCCGGAGTGGAAGACACTACTGGCTTTAAAGCTCCATTTCTCTGGGGATTCCCAAACTGTGCCTTCGACCATCTCTTAAATCTTGAAGAAAAAGAGAGAGAGATGTTGTGATTTAAATGAGAAATTTGCAAAATGAGAAACAGCTGTTCTTCATCACGCCAAGAGCATCGTTAGTGTTTTCAGATAAAATTATGGTTAGGTAGCAAAATGGAAGTGAAATTTTTAATTTCTTAGTGCCATACCTCCTTCATCTAAGTTTATGATCCCATCTTGACCCTCTTTTGAATCTTGAAGATAAAAATAGAGATGGTGTGATTTAAATGAGAAATCTGCAAAATCAGAAATCACCGTTCTTCATCACACCAAGTACACTGTTAATGTTTGCAGATAACATTATTATTAGGGGCCTGGTGCAGTGGCTCACTCCTATAATCTCAATACTTTGGGAGGCCCAAGGGTTTGAGACCAGCCTAGGCAACCTAAAAAAAAAACAAACCCCATCTCTAAAAAAAAAAAAAAAAAAATAGGTGGCAAAATGAAAATGAAATTTTAAATTTCTAAGTGCTATACCCCCTTCATCTGAAGTTTATAACCTCTTGCCAAAGGTCAAGAGAAGAGTGGCAGGCCTCCATGCCTATCCTTCCTAGACAAAAAACAGTAAAAAATCCCAGGACCAAGAACGGAGTCCTGGGGGTGGACGGCCAGGAACCCCACAAACATCACCGTCAAGTCAGTTCATCTGAAGATGGTCAGCTGATGTTTTAAAATTAGATTTGTCTTATTAAGTGTGTCAGTCTATTGCTAAATGTCTCCTGGCCCTTACTGATACGTCTTCGTGTGAAAATGCTGACATCAATAGTTGATGCACAGGAAGCATCGTCAGAAAGTCAAACTCTTCCCCTCTCGGAAATATTCTTCCAATGACCTCTTTACTCACGTCTTCTGCAAAAAGGAGGATCAGAATAGAGCAAACTGAGTTCATTTGAAATTTTTAAAATTTTAAAAATAAAATAAAATAGGGACAGGGTCTTGCTATGCTGCACAGCTGGTCTCACTCCTGAGCTCAAGCAATCCTCTTACCTTGGCCTCCCAAAGTGCTGAGGTTACATGCAAATGAGCCTCTGTGCCAGGCCTTCATTTGCGATTTTAATATGCAACAGCTCAGATGAAAAGATACTCTGAATAATCAAATAATGTAGTTAGTTCTTCCTCAGTTGAAGAAGGAATAAGTTAATGTTTTTAATTTTCCCAATTGTTTTTCTCCCAGAAAGTTTTCTTAAACCATTCGTCTTCTGTAGTTAGCAAACACTCATAGGCAGGCAGATAAATGAACAAGCAAGTATTCATAGAAAGCACAAACACCACCAACGCCAAAACATCTTTCTTTTTACAGGAGCATGTGTGATTGTGATTTTTGATTGCATAAGTTCCAGGAAAAATTGTCATTAGTTTGCATGATGGGATTAGATCTAGCAATCATTCTTGGTATTATACAGAGAGAACCATGGCTTTCAAGTAAGTGCTCTGATACCCAACCAAAGTTAAGAGCCTCTAGGTCCCAGAGGAAACGATTGAGGGACTTTGCAAACTAAGGCTGGGGGAGATGGAACAGGGATGAACTGAGGGGAAAAAAAACAAAGTGGGCTTAGGATGGAGAACTTGGGCAGCATGCCAGCAGCTGAGCATCCTCAGGGCACACCCCTCTGCTGAGGGATGCTGCGAGCTGGCCGCCCTGATGGGAAGACTGTCTACGTCTGGCTTCAGGAACTGTCCCGATGGACACAGGATTCCCTTGCCTCCGCAGTGCATCTTCTCCTATCAACAAAAGGAAGTAGGAAGAAAGAAACAGCAAGAAGAGGCCTGCAAAAAAGTCTTTTAAAAGTTTTATCTATGGCAGCCCTGCAGTCTTCCTTCTTTTCAGTGAATAGAAAAGAGCTCAAAAATCCATACCTTCACATCAGAGGTGCACTGTCCATACATCAAATTCTTGTAACATCCAAAGGCGAGGGAAGAACAAGGTGAGCTGGCTCCTGAAGAAGTATTCATGGAATATTAGAGCCGAAAGGGGCGTTGAAAAGTCATATTTCATGGTAATCCTGTGCCATATAGACATAATCTTTCCTGTATCGGTAGAAAATAGATTCCCCATAATGGCACAAGTCACATACTAAATTGTGCAATAGGATTACAGCACCATCTTGTGGCCAAAATCAGTACAGCGCTGAACACAAAAAGCTCCCATTTGTTCCATTCTTACTTGGAGTTTAGTATTAGTTTCTAGTTTACTTTCTTGTGACCACATACAACATTTTGAGAAAAATATTCCTCATTATACATATGCATACAATAAAGAGTATGAATTTAAAAGAATAGGGGTTATGTAACCAAGTTTGTAGACATTAATGTTGCATTTTTAGCTAGGGGATGTTTTTGGTACAACTATACTTTGGGCACAGGGAACTAGAGTGGGAAAAGGTGGAAAAAGTCGGAATTTCAAAGTAAATGACTAATGGCTTTCTCTGGTGTGAACCAATCCAAATGTCAGTGCTTCCTTCCAGTCTTATGACTGTCTTCTCAACATAGACGAGGCATTAGCCAAAAAGCTTCACGTGGTCACTGAATGCTCTTGGTCACGTGCACCATTTGACGCCACCCTTGTACTCACATGTTCCTTCTGCCCACGTATCATACTTACGTAGTTAGGCTCATAGGACAAATAGCTACTCAGAGACTGGTTCCAAATTTCAAGCTATATTTGATACGCAATTGAAAATGTATGTCAATTTTTCTAAATTTTCTACATTTCTACCCTATTTTAGTGGGTGCTTTTAAAAAGTACAACTTAAGTTCAAAGAAGCCTTTACTTAGAAATATGTTGAAATTACATTCTACGTGAGGCATATGGATCTCTACTTGCAAAGCAGTTTTATCAACTAGAGCTAGACTTGTCCCACATGTAAATTTGGAAGCATTCAAGGTTTAAAAGCTTGAAAACCTAAAAGGATAGTTCCCCTCCAAGATTGTAGGTTAAGGTCCTGCAAACTCCCCTGAGCAGGCGAAATTTGGGAAGGCACAATCAGCACTATTTAGTGGGGGTGAAAAAGGATTACTGGGTTTGCAAATGAATTATCTCTAGACTTTCTTAATGTTTACCTTAAAAAAAAATTAGAATCATACTACAGTTAGATTCTACCATCTCACAGACGCTGAGTAAGTGGTCATGTCTTTTGCTTTCCAGAAAAGTTCGTCATACAATCTCCTTTCTCCTACAGTGCCAATGAGATGCTTATCGAATCATGTTTACTTGTGAGTAACACACATAAATGGCATTTTACCACTGGTTTTGGTCCTCTATCCTTGTGTTTCATTACTAGGATTTGAACTCTGAAAAAAAGGTAAAATATAGTTGACCTTTGAACAATGCAGGGATTAGGGATATTGACCCCTCATGTAGCAGTAAATCTGTATATAACTTTTGACTTCCCAAAAACTTAACTCCTAATAGCCTATGGCTAACTGGAAGCCTTACTGATATTAATAAACAATCAACACATTTTGTTATATGTATTATAAACTTTATTCTTACAACAAAGTAAGCTAAAAAATATAAAGGAAATCAAAGGAAGAGAAAATATATTTACGACTCATTAAGTGGACATGGATGATCAAAAAGTTCTTCATCTTTGTCTTCACGCTGAGTAGGCTGAAGAGGAGGAGGAAAAGAGGATGGTCTTGCTGTCTCAGGGTGGCAGAAACAGAAGAAAATCCCCGTATACATAGTGATCTGCAAAATTCAAACCCACGTTGTTCAAGGGTCAACTTTAACTTACTTTTAACCTACCAATTCAGTCAACTAGTTGTTTTTCAAATGTTCCCCTCCAAAAACAGTCTCTGCTTTACCTTTGGGAGCTATAAACCCTGTAATATAACTGAAGTTCCACTTTCCTCGCCATTAGGAAAGGCACTTCAAAGTTCCTTTATCTTTCTTTATAAAAAAATGTCAGGCCGGGCGCAGTGGCTCACGCCTGTAATCCCAGTACTTTGGGAGGCCGAGGTGGGCGGATCACGAGGTCAAGAGATTGAGACCATCCTGGCCAACATGGTGAAACCCCGTCTCTACTAAAATACAAAAAATTAGCTGGGCATGGTAGCATGCACCTGTAGTCCCAGCTACTCGGGCAGCTGAGACAGGGGAATCCCTTGAACTCAGGAGGCGGAGGTTGCAGTGAGCTAAGATCGCACCACTGCACTCCAGCTTGGGCAACAGAGCGAGACTCCATCTAAAAAATAAATAAATAAATTCATGGTAAAAGTGCTGTTGGTTTTAACATTTTACCTCTTTTCTATTTTCAACTCGTAGGTCTTGCTATTCTTGTTAACCCCTGCGAGTGACTACTGGAAGACTCAAACTAAAAATAACTGTTGCCAAAAAGTTTTTAAAAAATGATAAATCAAAAGGAATTTGCAGTTAGGGGATTATTGAACTGACCACAAAGGATTAGAACACCAAAACCTCTCTACTGAATTAAATGTGTTCCAATACTTAGAAGAGTTCTTGGTACATACTATTATTATGACTAGAATACTAAATTGAACTGAAATCTATGCTTTATTTTCCCTTCACCATTAACATTTTAAGCTGTTTTTGAGTTTCAACTTCTTAGAAAAGGCAATTTCTGAGAAGCATAACATTTGCCTTTTCCTGCTATTTATAATAGAAACTGAATAAGAAACATACTAGAAGTATACAGAATTTTAAACTTAGAATGTGGGGATCATGTAAATAGCTGCCTACTTATAATCTATACCATGCATTTCCCAAAGAGTTTTAACATTACTATTTCAGTTAAAATTGTATTACAGAAGCAAAGTTCATCAACCTCCTGCCATTACTGGGTATATCAAATTAAAATGCAATGTAACATGTGGAGAAAAAATGTATTGGTATTACAGCAAAAAATTCACATGAGATACATAAATTATGATACCTCAAAGCTAAAGGCAAATAAAATACACCTAATTATACAAATTCTATACAATTAAATCAAGAACTTTAGGAAAATTTCTTGTAAAAATGTCAAGAAAAGATTTGATCTGGTTGGGCACAGTAGCTCATGCCTGTAATCCCAGCACTTTGGGAGGCCAAGGCAGGTGGATCACCTGAGGTCAGGAGTTCAAGACCAGCCTGACCAACATGGAGAAACCCCATCTCTACCAAAAATACAAAAATTAGCTGGGTATGGTGGCATACGCCTGTAATCCCAGCTACTAGGGAGGCTGAGGCACAAGAATCGCTTGAACCTGTGAGGTGGAGGTTGCCGTGAGCCGAGATCGCACCAGTCCAGCCTGGGTGACGGAGTAAGACTCCATCTCAAGAATAAAAAAAAAAAAAAAAAAAGATTTGATCAAACCAAGATTTTACAAAAACAAAATCAAAAACACTGTGACTTGATTAACATTTATTTAATTTTGGGAACACAGTAAAAAAGAAAAACAAACCAAAAAGCCACCTATTTCTTCACAACTTTGAAAATGTCTGGCTTGAAACACCTTTGACATTTATCTCACTTTCAGTCTCAAGTTTCAGGCTGCCACATTCATGGCTGGCTAGCTGGCAGTGATGCTCTTCTCTGCTCTCAAGGTTTCTTTGGGCTTGGAATAGTTCCAAGGCCGTCTATTCTCTGTGAATCCATAAAGTTTTCTAAGGGCCACTCGAGCAGCCTCTTCTTCTGCAACCAATACTGTTTCCCCAGGTCCTTCTGCAATCAACTTTTTATCACTAGAAAGAGAACAAATAGTAGTCTTAAATTACATGGAATATTATAAGACAGTACATAAAGCAGTTATAAAGCAATTATGCCTTCTACATCTTATTTCAATAACACACATTAGAAGTAACACAATAGCTTTGATAGATCATCTTTTGGATTTTAACTAGATTTGTTGCAAGTTCATTATATATGGTAATCAGACAAAGATACACTCATGTTTCATCAGAAATACATACAACTCTATCAAGTCAAAAAAACAAGTAGGGGCCAGGCACGGTGGCTCAAGCCTGTAATCCCAGCACTTTGGGAGGCCGAGATGGGTGGATCACGAGGTCAAGAGATTGAGACCATCCTGGCTAACACGGTGAAACCCCGTCTCTACTAAAAAAAATACAAAAAAAGTAGCTGGGCGAGGTGGCGGGCGCCTGTAGTCCCAGCTACTCGGGAGGCTGAGGCAGGAGAATGGCGTAAACCCAGGAGGCAGAGCTTGCAGTGAGCCGAGATCCAGCCACTGCACTCCAGCCTGGACAACAGACTGAGACTCCGTGTCAAAAAAAAAAAAAAAGGAAAGTAGTATCTATATTTTCAATTGTTGATGAGAGAATTGGAAGAATATGTAATTAAATAAGTCCTTACAAAACCCTGAAACTAGTAAAAATATTATCAGGAATTATGACTATTTTTATTTTTAATGTGTGATATAACTTGGGAAAAGATTCTGTTGAAAAAATTATGCCTTTTGAGTTTTTGAGTTTGTCATCTAAACTTTAACACAAAACTGAGAAACCAGTTCTATATTTCAAATTAAGAACTTTAGGCCGGGCGTGATGGCTCACACTTTTTTTTTTTTTTTTGACAAAGAGTCTCACTCTGTCGCCCAGGCTGGAGTGCAGTGGTGCGATCTCAGCTCACTGCAAGCTCTGCCTCCCGGGTTTACGCCATTCTCCTGCCTCAGCCTCCCAAGTAGCTGGGACTACAGGTGCCCACCACCATGCCCGGCTAGTTTTTTGTATTTTTAGTAGAGACGGGGGTTTCACTGTGTTAGCCAGGATGGTCTTGATCTCCTGACCTCGTGATCCACCCGCCTTGGCCACCCAGTGGCTCACACCTTTAACACCAACACTTTGGGAGACCAAAGCAGGAGGATTGCTTGAGCCCAGGAGTTCGAGATCAGACTGCACAACAGAGTGAGACATCCAAAAAAAAAAAAAAATAGTAAATGAAAAAAAAAAAGTTAGAGCTTCAAAACAGGCTCAGATTTTAAAAGTATTTTATATATTTCTAATCCACTCTAATTTATTTCCAAGTGAGGTAACACTCAATGTTGGCTATGAGTATTCTATTGAAAAATCTAAGGTAGGTAGGTATTCCTCTGCTTTATTGGTATTTCTTTTTTTTTTTTTGAGACGGAGTCTTGCTCTATCGCCCAGGCTGGAGTGCAGTGGCCGGATCTCAGCTCACTGCAAGCTCCGCCTCCCGGGTTTCCGCCATTCTCCTGCCTCAGCCTCCTGAGTAGCTGGGACTATAGGCGCCCGCCACCTCACCCGGCTAGTTTTTTTTTTTTTTTTGTATTTTTTAGTAGAGATGGGGTTTCGCCGTGTTAGCCAGGATGGTCTCGATCTCCTGACCTTGTGATCCACCCATCTCGGCCTCCCAAAGTGCTGGCATTACAGGCTTGAGCCACCGCGCCCGGCCTATTTCTATTCTATATCATAATGATTTATCTTCTTAAAAAACGTGAAATGTTCCTTCAAGGGAGCAGAGAATGTAGAGTGTGCACATCAAATAACTATAATCCTTTTTGTTTTGCTACTTCTGAAATATATTTAACTACTTCCTGGAAATTTTCTGACCTAAAATTTCATCTGTGCCACTAAAAGAAGCATCTCCAGAAAGTTTCATGCACAGCAACTGCATTTACTAAATCGGATTCAATATAAGCTGATTTGAAAGTGAAGACTAAAGCCAAATTAAAGAAAAACTAGTGAAGCTACACAAATAAAAGAACAACAATATTGAATAAATTTGCTAAAAAATATCTGTTATGACAATAATTGGAAATGAAACAAAGGTTATATAAGTTAAACTTTATAATAATAAACACAAATTTGTACAAATCTTGAGAAACAGAAAAAGTCATCTTAAAGTGAGTAACGAGCATAGAATTTTGTTTTTAGTCTAATGTTGCTGGTTTTATCATTGATCATGTTTTAAAAAGTCTTTAAATTAAATCTATAAAGAAGTCATTAAATTAAAATCTACAAAAACACGACTACCCAACAGTAATCACTGTAGTGATATGGCAAATGACTTCTTACATTTTTTTTTTTAGATAAAAGATCATTCTCTAAAATGTAGCAATCTCATTAAAAATTCTTTTAAAATGTTGCCTGTAATAGCTGTACTATATATTACATCATGTACATGTATCATTTCCCTCTTGTGGAATATCAAATTTATTTCTAATTGTTTTTCAGTTCAACAACTATTTACTGACCACCACGTCCCAGCAACTGTTCAAGGTATGGAGCTTAAAGAGGTAAACAACAAATGTCTTTGTTCACAAAATTCCTGAAAATTTAAGGCAAACAACCAAAAGTTGAAATACCAAAATCAAAGAACATAAAAAATTTTCAGATGCTTGGCATTTTGTCAAAATTATTCACAGAAATATGGTACATTTTTTTCCTACCAGCAGTGTATAAACTGATGATAAAAGATATGTTTAAAAGGCTTGCCAATCAGATAAGTAACAAAGAGTAGCTCACTGTTTTTGCATTTCAATAAATAAAACTTTTTACAACACTATCCATTTTCCCCATGTGGTAACTTCTATTTCTTTTATACTTATAAAGTCTTTCGTGATACAAGGATTAGAAAAATATTTACCTAAATCTTAATATAGCTATTTTAAATATTCACTATTTACATTTAACACTTTAATCTTAACATCTGAGATTAATTTGGGGCAGGTCAACTTTTTACTAACAAAACTAAAAAGCTCTCAACATGGGTTGATTTATACATTTTGATGGATAACTAAGGCCCTTCCTTTTCCAGATCTAGGCTCAGTTGAAGCTACTGACAAGAATGGATTAAGGTTAAATCTGTAACATGAACAAGTCGACATTTGTACTTTTACACAGAAAAATTTAAGATAACATACTGAAAGTCTACAGCAAATATTATTGGCTGACAAAAGCCACTATTAGCAAAACTCAGATTCTTCCCCTAAGCATAAATAGCGGGAAGGGAAGTAGTAAATAATAACATGGGGAAGAGTTCTTTTTTAAAATCTGTTAATGCAATTAGAAGTTACGTTAAGGAATTTGAAGAGGTTATGTTAACATTCCTTATGGAATGTAAGAGTCTGTTTTTAAGGCTTTGTGAGGAGTCTGTTTTTAGGATTTCCTCAAAGTTATAAAGTTATGATTAAAATTTCACTAACCAGTATAAGCCAACAAAATACAAAGGCAAAGCTGTGGTGCTACCAGACTGCCTTGTAAGTCTTGATTCAGGGGCTGAAATATTCCTTTTCTTCAGTTCTTCTACCAATAGCCCCATGGGATCTATTATCTTCCACATCTCAAAGAGCTCTTTTCCAGTCATTTGAGTAATTAAGAAGTCCTACATATAAAAATACAATTTATACATTTTAATTAGTAGAAAGAACATTAGGACCACAATTCAAAATATATTCTTTACACTTTTTAAATTAGAGAAGCCACAGAGTACATTTTTAACAGAAATTTAAAACTTAATGGGAAATGAAAGACAAAAATGTACTATTCTTTTTCATTCCCCCAGTTTTTACACACATTTTATTATTACAAAAATCATAGTTGGATTAAAAAAACTTGAAAGCCCAAGAAACCTATTTCAAGCACTATGATCTACCAAAATTCCACAGAAGTTAGAATCCTGTCATTTTTTCTTTTCTTTTTTGAGACAGGGCTCCACTCTGTTGCCTAGGCTAGAGTGCAGAGGTGTGATCACAAGTACACCGAAACCTCAGCCTCCTGGGCTCAAGCAATCCTCCCAGCTTGGCCTCTTCAGCAGCTGAGACTACAGGTGCACACCACCATACCCGGCTAGTTTTTAAATTTTTTGTAGAGACGAGGTCTCCATAAGTTGCCCAGGCTGGTCTCAACTCCTGGCTTGAAAGGATCCTCCTGCCTTGGCTTCTCAAAGTACTGGAATTATAGGCATTAGTCACCACACCCTGCCCTATCTTATAATTCAGAATTATATTCCTACTAGTAAAAAAAAAAAAAATTTAAAGAATTGAGTTAACAAATAAAAAGTAGTAACTTCTCACAGAAACTCATGTAAAATGGCACTCAGAGCCCCTAGATAACAATATTTCCTCCATTAATAATGTTTTTAAAAACTTGGCCGGGCAAGGTGGCTCACACCTGTAATCCCAGGACTTCGGGGGACCAAGGCAGGCAGATCACTTGAGGCCAGGAGTTTGAGACTAGCCTGGCCAACATGGTGAAACCCTGTCACTACTAAAAATACAAAAATTAGCCAGGCATGATGGTGCACGCCTGTAAACCCAGCTAGAAGGGAGACTGAGGTGCAAGAATCACTTGAACCTGGGAGGTGCAGGTTGCAGTCAGCCAAGATCATGCTACCACAGCACTCCAGCCTGAGCAACACGGCAAGACTCTGTCTCAAAAAATAATAATAAATAATTTTTTAAAAATCGCTTAATAATTTCACATAAACTTTTAAAACTGTAACATACTAATAATTATTTATATGACTAAGATAACTGAGAAATTATGAACATTCAAAGCAGAATTGATTTTGCCAGTAAAAAGCATTATGCTGTATAGAAACTATGGAAGCAAATATTAATTTACAGCAATTTACATATTCCAATTAACTTGTATTAACAAACATTAGTAATACGATAACAGGATGGATGGATGGATGGAGGCAGGAGGGAAGAAATTTAAAAAGACCCCTTAGTTCATGAAATGAAGTCAATTCAATACAACACTCCTCCAAGCACCAGAACACTTTCAACTTCATTAATAAAAAATATTAGGCCAGGCATGGTGGCTGATACCTATAATCCCAGCACTCTGGGAGGCCAGGGTGGGAGGATCAATCACTTGAGATCAGGAGTTCAAGACCAGCCTGAACACCATAATGAGACAGTGTTTCTACAAAAAAAAAATTTAGCTGGACATAGTGGCGCATGCCTGTGGTCCCAGCTACTAGGCAGGCTGACAAAGGAGGATGGCTTGAGCCCAGGAAGTTGAGGCTGCAGTGTGCTGTGATTGTGCCACTGCACTGCAGCCTGGACAACAGAGACACTGTCTCAAAAAAAAAATTTCTAAATCCATTCTCAGTAGGGGATTTTGAAATGTTTTAATGTACAGAAGTAGATATGCCTTATGGGATATGTATGTATATGCACATATACAAAAATCACTGAACTGCTATCTGTCATATAGAATAACCAAGTGTAAGATACGGAAACACAACTCTTTCCCATCATCGAAGATATGAGTAGGAATACAGAAAGAAAGCTCAATTTTTCTTAAGTGATTACCTTCTATTTTTTGCTATTTGCTCCTGGTCTTACTAATTTATTATCATAACTTTCTAGTAGGGTGCAAGTTGAATACTCCAATCTCACCTCCCGAGAATAGGGAAGGGGTATGAAGAAATGATGTTTCTAAAATGCGCATTTGATCATTAAAAACCTCCCACTTAGAACAACTCCAGCTGTCACTATATAAGATCATCAAAATACATACTCCGTAGCATGGCTAAGAGTGCTGTTCTCATTTCCAGATGCAGAGATATCACCTGGAGAGCTACTTAAAATACAGATTCCGGCTGGGGGCGGTGGCTCACGCCTGTAATCCCAGCACTTTGGGAGGCCGAGGCGGGTGGATCACGAGGTCAGGAGATCGAGACCATCCTGGCTAACACAGTGAAACCCCGTCTCTCTCTAAATATAGAAAAAATTAGCCAGGCATGGTGGTGGGTGCCTGTAGTCCCAGCTACTTGGGAGGCTGAGGCAGGAGAATTGTGTGAACCCGGGAGGCGGAGCTTGCAGTGAGATGAGATCACATCACTGCACTCCAGCCTGTGCAACAAAGCAGACTCTGTCTCAAAAAAAAAAAAAAAAAAAAAAAACAGGTTCCTAGGTCCTACTCCCAGAGATTATGTACTCTGAGGGGGTGCCTGAGAATCTGCATTTCTATCAAGTTCTCCAGTGACGCTGATACTGACGCCCAAACCACTTTCTGAGTAACACTGTTGGCTCTTCTGTACACTGGCTCTTGAAGGTCCAGACTCATCTTTGATCACTTCTCCAAATGCAATATGATTCAGTCACAAAAAATTAACTGTAGTTCCCAAGCACACGCTCACCCTTGACATTGTCTTCCCAAAACATCTTTTTTACGGGCACAAATCGCTTCTATAAAACCTTTCCTACCCTTACTAAAGTTGGTTGTTGCCTCCTCTGAATTCACTCTGCGCCTTAACACCTCTAGGAAAGCACTTCCACATTGCATTCCATCTAACTAATGAGCTGTGAGTAGGATCAAATCCTATTTAGATTGTGGCTCCAGAGCTCAGCAGAGTGCCTGGCCCATAGTAAGGCACTCAACATTAAGTGGATGAACAAATGAAACAGGACAATCCAAACCTGTCAATTCTACTATGAGAGACATCAAAGCTCAACTTATAAACAGATATTTGAATTATCTATGTTTCGTAAGTACTTGGAACTGTTAAGACGCATTAAAATATGGTAAATATTTCCAACACAGTTTCATGACTACCTTGTAGAATTTCAAAACGGTGACCAAAAATTATTTAAACTCCAAAGAGGTTATAGTAAAGAGAATGGAAATCAAAGAGGACTTTGTCAGAATTTCTATAGAAAAAATTGGGGGGAGAAAGATAGGTCTTACCTATGAACAAAGTCTGAAGTGTCAGTAAATACAGATATTCTCTTAACAAAATTATCAAACTTGGTATCAAAACTAAATGAACAGATTCCAATAGCATGTGATGCTGGTTTAAGGACTGAATGTCAGTTAGATAGATTCTTGAATCAAAACTGTCTTTATGACTTAAAGAGATTGTGTGGACTCTCTATTATCAAAAAAAGTGAACAAAATCTCATGTTTTCATCCAATGGCAGAGGATAAAACTTCTCCCAGTTAATAAATTACAAAAGGATAGTGAGAGTCAAGTTGTACCAATTAAGAAACCGAATTAGCTAAGTCACTAGCTAACAAAGAGTTGGGCATCAGAGGGACTTGAAATCCAAGATTTCATCACTTAGAAGAGCAGACAGCAGCTGGTACTGAAGCACAGGCCTCTGCATACTGTCCTTTGACTTCATTCATTCACCAAACATCTACTGAGTATCTCTCATGCAGGCAGTATCCTTGGCCCTAAGGATGTCATGGCTTGTGGTCCTTCAGAAATCACAACCCACAATTTAATATTCACTTTTTATGATATCCATAATAAGAGACAACTGGAATAATTACAGCCCTTCCATAAAAAAGTTTTAGGTTTTTCTCAGTTTTTCTTGGGACAAACATTCACTACCAAGGTGATGTATCAAAGAAGCGAATTACAAAAGAAAATTTTCCCTTCTGTCTTTCTCAAGCATGTCCAATTAATAATTACGTACCCTGATAAAAAGTGCAGTCCTCTCGGGTCCACTGCTCTGTAACAGGGCTCCAATAACTGCAAAGAAAGTTTGCTGTAATACAGTCGGGGGCACTGGGAATTCCTCACTCAGTGTCAACTGCTCCACAGCCAAGTTTCTAGCCACGTGACACACGACTTCCTCACCAGTGAGAAAGTCAACAAGATTTCTGATGCCTTCAGTGGGCAAGTCTGGGAACTCATCTTGAAGAAACTGTGTGAGGCAAGTCTGTGAAAAAGATGTCCCTTGTTCAGATAGTTCCTGATTACTTTTAAGATTCAGAAGTACAGTTTCTTTCTCTATCCCAAGTCGTTGGCGCTTGGCCTCCTCACTTTTAATATAGCAGCTATTAACAAATGCAGTTTTGAGAAGATCTAAGGAAAAGTGTTCCTGTAACCGATGTCCAAAAGCTTGTATTTCTGCATGGTAATCCCAGTTCGGCTTCTCGGAACTGAAAATGTAAAGATAGTAAGAGATGGTAAAGAGAACAACCTGTTACTGTGATATAAAAATTTTTCACTGTGTTGTAATGTTATTAATTATATAAAGGAAATGAAAGAAGGTTATATTTCTTTTTATTTTTATTTTTATTTTTTTATTTTTTTTATTTTTTTGAGACGGAGTCTCGCTCTGTCCCCCAGGCTGGAGTGCAGTGGCCGGATCTCAGCTCACTGCAAGCTCTGCCTCCCGGGTTCACGCCATTCTCCTGCCTCAGCCTCCCGAGTAGCTGGGACTACAGGCGCCCGCCACCGCGCCCGGCTAATTTTTGTATTTTTTTTTAGTAGAGATGGGGTTTCACCGTGTCAGCCAGGATGGTCTCGATCTCCTGACCTCGTGATCCGCCCGTCTCGGCCTCCCAAAGTGCTGGGATTACAGGCTTGAGCCACCGTGCCCGGCCCATATTTCTTTTTAATGCCAGGCTGATATTCTAAATGTTAAGACTGAAGTCAGATAAATACTGGAAGTCCCTTGCTATATTCTACATATATGATCGGATTAATTTTCCCATTGATCCAATTGTCACATGAAATTGGTTCTTCAATATAAAAGACTAAGCCATTAGCCTAACTTTTAGGTTCCTTATTTCTGCTCTAATCATGAAACTGTTTTATACCTAAGTATGAAACATAAACGATAATTTCACAGATTCAAGCCATAAACACTAGGTATGTTATATTTACGGTCATCCCTCAGTATCTGTGGGGAATTGGTTCCAAGGACTCCCCTGAATACTGAAATTCATGGATGCTCAAGTCTCCCATATAAATGGTGTAGTACAGGCACACTTCATTTCACTGTACTTTGGTCTATTGTGCTTCACAGATTTATTGCATTGTATTTTTACAAATTGAAGGTTTGTAGCAATTCTGCATGTGCTCACTTTGTGTCTCTGTGTTAGCATTTTTTTGCAATAAAGTATTTTAAATTAAGGTACATACATTGCTTTTTAGACAAAACTACTGCATACTTAATAAACTACAGAATAGTATAAACATAACTTAGGTATGCACTGGGAAATTTAAAAAGTCACGTGACTCGTTTTATTGCCGTGGTCTAGAACCAACCCTACAATATGTATGAGGTATACCTGTATTTGTATATAACCTATGCACATCCTCCTGTATACTTTAAGTCATCTCTGGATTACTTACACGTAACACAATATAAAACCCCTTTAAGAAACAAAGGGAAGCAAAGTATAAAAAGCTGGGTTGAAAGTCATAAGATATACTATACATATAATATATACACCTATATAATCTGTACAAACCATAAAGTTTCTTCCAACTTTGAGAGCCTAAAATACTTAACCTTATAATAAACAAGGGAATGGGAATTAAGAAGAGATTTTATTTTTTGCCATAAACTTATGTGTTAGAAGACCGTTCCTACTGGTAGGAGTACAAAGTGGATCAACATTTTTTGGAGGGCAACGTTAAAGTACTAATAGCATTCAAAATTACACACTACATATGCATCCCCAAAGGTGAAATAAAGATATACGCTGTTACATAGGTTTTAATGGCAATAATATGGAGCTCGTAGGTCCATAAACAGAGCCATAAAAAAGAGTGAGGTACATCTATTTGTAACGGCATGACAACATGTCAAAGACACATTATTAAAGAGAAAAAGGAAGATGAAGGAATTTAAATTATGTAAAGTATGATCTGATTTGAAGCCATAAAAACCTGTCTCTTTGCCAAACCTGTTACCAGAACAACATTAATTAGAGCAAAAATCGAAAGCTAACTTTTTTTCCTTTTTCTCTAGACAGTAGACTTCAGGTTGTAGATTCATTTTTTTTTTCTCCTTAATTTACAATGCTGTGGACTGCTTTCTTCTCGCTTATCGGAATTCTCAGGTATTACAAATGGGGGCTACAACACCCAAGTCCACATAAGGAAGACCCTCCGGCCAGCCCCATTTCTCCCAATTTCCAGTAGACAAAATCCTAAATGGTAGTTTCAAAACGTCGAGAGCAGCCTGAAGCTCTACCACCCGCGGCACAAATCCATTTTCTTTGCCTCAGGCCACGCGCCCACAGCTCACGGGTGTCTCCATCGCAAACTTCCTAAAGCTTAATCCAGGGGCGCATCAGCCGCAGGCATAACGCCGCGGGAGGAAGACCCAGTGTGTGCGACCGCCACCCTGACACCCTTCCCGAGGTGTCTCCTACCGGCGCACGGGCGGCGGCGGGCACCGCAGAAGGCGCAGCCGCTCTAACTCCTTCTGGAAGCGGAAGGCGGCGCGGAATCCCTTCTTCACTCCCCGAACCGGAGGGACCAGCTTGGGGACGACTGGAGCAAGGAGGCAGCGAGGCCCCTGCTGCAGCACTCTTACCAGCCCGGACGCCATTGCACGGGAGAGAGCGATGAAGGACGGAACGAAAGTAGTCGGGCCAGTGTCCCCGTAACACACTTCCCCCGGAACCCGGGACGCGGAGAGAGGACAGGGACGGAGACCGCCCCCGGGGCGGGGCGACTGAGAGAGGGCGGGGGCGGAGACAGCCCCGGGGGCGGGGCGACTGAGAGAAGCGGGGGTAGAGTCGGCCCCGGGGGCGGGGCGACTGAGAGGGGCGGGGGCGGAGACAGCACCGGGGCGGGGTGACGGCGGCCGCGTTGGTGCTGCGCGTGCGCTGGTTCTCTCCTCTATTGGAGTTACTTTCCAATGATCCGGGCTTGAGGGCGTTTGCGTCCAAAAGTTTCTTGGAGAGGTTGCTTCACCCTGTCAGTTACTCTCTTGTTCCTTCTTCTCTCGTTACAGCAAAACAAAAAAAAAATCTGTTTCACGTTCAAGTTAAGGAAACATTTAAATCCTCAAAAACGAAAACAGTTTTATTTATATTTAGTGTTCCAGACCATCAGTACTGCCATTATTGAGCAGGTATTTACCGAGCTTCTATTTTTGACCCAGCACGTCTCCAAAAGCCTTAGTTTTGGAAACCCTAGACTCAGAAATATTGGCTTATCCAAAATTAACATTTTTCTTTAAAAGCAATCTAATAGTACATTTCTTTTCTTTTATTTTCTTTTGAGAGGGAGTCTCGCTCTGTCGCCCAGGCTGGAGTGCAGTGGCCAGATCTCAGCTCACTGCAAGCTCCGCCTCCCGGGTTTACGCCATTCTCCTGCCTCAGCCTCCCGAGTAGCTGGGACTACAGGCGCCCGCCACCTCGCCTGGCTATATTTTTGTATCTTTTAGTAGAGACGGGGTTTCACCGTGTTAGCCAGGATGGTCTCGATCTCCAGACCTCGTGATCCGCCAGTCTCGGCCTCCCAAAGTGCTGGGATTACAGGCTTGAGCCACCGCGCCCGGCCCAATAGTACATATTTTTAAACATCCGGAAAATGACTGGAAAAAATCATAAAATGGTAACGGTAGAATTAGTTTCTTCCTTCTTTAACACTCTGTAACAGTGTAATTCTATTGCTTTCCTATCAAACTGTTAATACAGTACAATTTTTAAAAGAACATATTAAGTCACAAAGGGAGGCTTGTTTGAATTCCCCGTTTTGAGTTGCCTGCTGAACATCTAGACTCTCAAAGGGGCAATGCTTTCTGAGATCTATGTTTTAAAGGCATCTGTGTCCCCAGCAGTCACCCAGATTGAACTCCTGTGTCTTTGATTGTTCTTTCCACAAACCCCCTCTTCGGTCCAGTTACCACCAAGTGGTTTTTCAATTTATTTCCACTGGAGGTACCTGGTGGCTCTCCTCACCTCTTTCCGTGGTTACTGTAATTGACCTGGTACCAGCTCCGTTCCCCAGATACAGCTCACCTACATTCATCTCTGTGAAACACAGACCACAAAGCATGTTATGACTTAGCTGGAGAACCTTCAGTGCCAGGATCATACAACTCAGTTTGGGTTTCTCAGCTTGACCATTTCCAAAGGGAGAATCTAAATGGTTCATCTCAGCTTATAAAAGGGTTCCCTTTGGGAAGAGAGAGAGCAAAAGAGGGCCTGAGCACACACGGTTGAAGGAAATTCTCCAAGAAGGGGTGAAAGGAGGTCACAGTTGACCTTGTTATAATGTATGTAAAGTATTGAAAATTCATGGAACATCAATCCAATAAATGGATTAGGAGAAAAGGCAGGGAACTGTCATTTCTGTAGAATTTCATTTATTAGGAAAAATAATCTAAAGTCAGTTGTAGCACAATCATGTTAAGTTAAAATGAGGTGTTTCCATGTTGAGAGTTTCTCAGTCATACAACAATGAAAGCATCATTTGCAGATTAAAAAATGTAGGTCCTCAAAAGATTTACTAATGCCCTTCATGGAGCTCAGGAATTAACCAGTTTTTAAAAATTTGCTCATCCATTTGTTAATTTATTCAATAAACACATAATAGAAGGAGCACTTGGTTCTAGGACCCAGGCTCAGAAAACTTTAAGGAAGAAAAAGGCTAATGTGTTTTTTGGCCCTCAAAAACCTGATTTTTCCTTTAACCTGCTGGTAGCCGTAATTTGATCAAAGCTCACAGATGTCAACAACTTTCAAGTTTTCACTGGGTAAGGGTCAGGTGCAAGGGTGGGGAAAAGTCGCACTTAGGAAGAGGAGGTAAGGCGATTGAGGGTTCACTTTAACCCTTGGGGAACACTTCAACCTTTTGTGTTTTGATGCCAGGGATATTGCTTATATATTCCTTCAGTGATGGTGAGGGCAGCTGGAATACAGGGCACAGAAAGATGGATAACAAAGTTAGTGAATTCTGCTATAGGACCTTCCTGGACAGTGAAGCAATTCTGAACCCCTGAGATTACTTGCCACTACTTCATAGATTAGCTAAGGAATAACTACCAAATAGTGGCCTTTAATCCAACTCATAAGGAAAATTACAGACAAATAATTACCATAGGATGAAAATTACTATAGTTAAAACTGTTCATAATACAAAATTGGAGTTACTGATAAATATCGATATAGAATCAGTCTTCACCAAAGTTATATCTGTTCAACCTAGCTTTGGAAAATTTGACTTGATGGAAATTTTGACTTGATAGATCTAAAAGCCACAACAGAAAACTCACGATAGTAAAACTGATTAGCAAAAAGCCCTAGTAAACCTGAGCAACAAACAACATCTTAGGAAACAAATGCGGAAAAAAAATTCAAGACAAGACATTAAGTAAGCAATATAAATATGAAAATACAATTAGAAATAGGATACTTGAGCTGTATAGAAAATTGATCAAGACATTTAATTGGTTTCATGGAGCTTATTCCAGAAAACATTTTCTCAAAAAAAATGCATCAATGTTAATATAACTCTGTTAATTCAGAATTGTGGAAGCAAAACCTTTTTTGGTGTGTTAGCAGCCAGCAAGATGGCGCTCGACAAGCTCCACCTCCTGGTACTTACACCCTTGTATATTCCCCTCTCACATTGTGCTGGGATTCGTCTGTGTAACCAATAGACCATGGATGTTTTTATCAATTCTGGGGTTAGGTAATAACATACATCATGGCTTCCATTTTGGTCAGATACCTTGTATTTCTTGGATTAGGCTCCTATCAGGAAGTCAGCTGCTATGTTATGATGTTGCCTAAGAAACTATGTGGAAAAGCTTATGTGATGAGTAGCTGAGGCCTCTCACTAACAGCCGTGTGAATGAACGAGCCGTCTTAGAAATGGATCCTCCACTCCCAGTCACACTTTCAGATGACTGCCTACTGGCCAATGTCTTGACTGCATCCCCATGAGAGACCCTCTGCCAGAATCACCCAGCTAAGCTGCTCCCAAACTCCTGACCCTCAGGAAATAAACAAACATTTGTTGCTTTATGCCACTAAGTTCTGAAGTAATTTGTTACATAGCAACAGATAATTAATACACTTACGGTCAAATCAACTGGATGAAAATGGCAATATAAAAAATACTCTATATTCATGAGACTTAGGGGATGGCCTCAGAGTGCTGGGTCTAGATGGAAGTGTGGATTTTGCTGGATGCAGAAGAGATGGCAAGGAGGAACAACATTCCATAACATGCACAAAGTCATCAGGAATGATGAGGACTTAGTAAATTCCCCTCCAAAAAGTGAAAGCTGCCTGACCCTTTAACCCCTGTAGGTACAGATCCTCTTTCCTGTCATTAGGGATACTTTTGAGAAACAAGTTCAGGAAATATCAGGGAAGATGTCGAGTGCGGTGTTTCTACTTTACCCATGTTCCTTGATGTTTCTGCTAAACTGAGCAATGTTTGGATCTGAGAGAGGGATGCCTATTACAGGAAAAAAGGAATATTTTAAAGGGTCATAAAACTAAGTAAAAACTGGTAATGAGGGGGAACGTAGAGATATTAGACCACTATGACTATAATATTGAAACTTTACACTTTTGTTTTGCTTTTTAAATAAATAAAACATTGTAAAAGTGGTTTCAGATTTTTGCAATGTGATCATTATGCTGGTCTGCAGTGTAAACCTTGGGTAAAATCCAGAGGATGGGTTAAAAGAACTCCTGGCAAAACCACTGAACAAAATTACCAAGTCTTCTTTCCTCTCTGGGGTGAAATTGTGTCTCCAAATCTTTTGTGAAGGCCCAAGGAGACGAAGCATGTCCAAAAGCAATAAATCACTGTAGACTTCATTTTCAGTCTATTCCACAGATTTAACATGTATTGAATAGATAAACATTGATTAGGTATACGTTATAATAACTGTTGAAAGACACTGATAAGTTTTTGAAGTATTTCCTCTTGATTGGAGTTAACCAAATTATAGCCATTACAAGTTATAAATTTAAGAATCTGGGCCGGGCGCGGTGGCTCATGCCTGTAATCCCAGCACTTTGGGAGGCCGAGGCAGGCGGATCATGAGGTCAGGAGTTCAAGACCAGCCTGGCCAACATGGTGAAACCCTGTCTCTACTAAAAATACAAAAATTATCTGGACATGGTGGCGTGTGCCGGTAGTCCCAGCTACTCAAGAGGCTAGGACAGGAGAATTGCTTGAATCCGAGAGGCGGAGGTTGCAGTGAGTGGAGATAGCGCCACTATACTCCCGCCTGGGTAACAGAGCAAGACTCTGTCTCAGAAAAAAAAAAAAGATTCTGGATAATCTGGATACTGCATACGAATAAGTTATTCTTTATGAGACTATCATTTATATCATTATATGGTTTATATCTTTTTTGAAAATACTCAATTAGTGAAATATTGCCTTATAATTTACGTATGTAATGTCATGTTCTCAGTGAGTTATGTCCTGCAATCCTCATGATGGCGTTAAAAGAAAAACTGTAGAACAATTAAAGAGTTTGAGCAAGGAACGATGAATCAGGCAGCCCCCAGAACCAGAACACATTCAGAAAGACTCCAGGACTGCCACATGGTCAGATAACATTTACGGACAGTAAAAGGAAAAAGTATGTACAGAAAATGCAAATGAGGTACGGAAACAGCTGGTGTCTGCTTTATTTGAATAGGGCTGCCTG